GATGGCAATTGTATGATGGCTAAAACTAGATCGGTGAATAATAGATGATTGCAACAATGGCTAGGTATATATTATACAAGATAGCTGAGTTCTTACATGTAAACGCAGAGATATCATTTTTTTTAAATCAAGCCTTATTTTAACTTTTTACTTTCCTATCTGTATACAGATGTGTGTGTGTGTGTGTGTGTGTGTGTGTGTGTGTGTGTGTGTGTGTGTGTGTGTGTGTGTGTGTGTGTGTGTGTGTGTGTGTGTGTGTGTGTGTGTGTGTGTGTGTGTGTGTGTGTGTGTGTGTGTGTGTGTGTGTGTGTGTGTGTGTGTGTGTGTGTGTGTGTGTGTGTGTGTGTGTGTGTGTGTGTGTGTGTGTGTGTGTGTGTGTGTGTGTGTGTGTGTGTGTGTGTGTGTGTGTGTGTGTGTGTGTGTGTGTGTGTGTGTGTGTGTGTGTGTGTGTGTGTGTGTGTGTGTGTGTGTGTGTGTGTGTGTGTGTGTGTGTGTGTGTGTGTGTGTGTGTGTGTGTGTGTGTGTGTGTGTGTGTGTGTGTGTGTGTGTGTGTGTGTGTGTGTGTGTGTGTGTGTGTGTGTGTGTGTGTGTGTGTGTGTGTGTGTGTGTGTGTGTGTGTGTGTGTGTGTGTGTGTGTGTGTGTGTGTGTGTGTGTGTGTGTGTGTGTGTGTGTGTGTGTGTGTGTGTGTGTGTGTGTGTGTGTGTGTGTGTGTGTGTGTGTGTGTGTGTGTGTGTGTGTGTGTGTGTGTGTGTGTGTGTGTGTGTGTGTGTGTGTGTGTGTGTGTGTGTGTGTGTGTGTGTGTGTGTGTGTGTGTGTGTGTGTGTGTGTGTGTGTGTGTGTGTGTGTGTGTGTGTGTGTGTGTGTGTGTGTGTGTGTGTGTGTGTGTGTGTGTGTGTGTGTGTGTGTGTGTGTGTGTGTGTGTGTGTGTGTGTGTGTGTGTGTGTGTGTGTGTGTGTGTGTGTGTGTGTGTGTGTGTGTGTGTGTGTGTGTGTGTGTGTGTGTGTGTGTGTGTGTGTGTGTGTGTGTGTGTGTGTGTGTGTGTGTGTGTGTGTGTGTGTGTGTGTGTGTGTGTGTGTGTGTGTGTGTGTGTGTGTGTGTGTGTGTGTGTGTGTGTCTCCACCATAACTCAAGAACCGATACAAAGAAAAACGCCAAAAGATTAAACTTATGCTTTATTCCGGCGTCCAATGAACTGATTAGATTTTAGGCAGAGTCGGAACATCTGGGCGGATACTTTATAAGTAGTCATTTTTACATTTTATGGAATATATCTGTTATTTATGTTTGGAGAAGAAAATTGTTCAAATAAAAGTTACTTTTAATATTATTATCTATAATTTTTGTTTTATTTAAAATTTTCCTGAAATGGTCCGTATTCGAGAAATTTGACAAAATGTGCAAAATTCTGATTTTAAAGATAATTGTTAATCTAAAAGTTGTTTGCGATATCCATCTCTATAATTTTTGTTCATACATGATTTTTCTAAAATGGACCGTAATGGAAAAATTGGAGGAAAAGTATTGTTTCGAGGTAGACGTATGTGGTAAATGTATATATTTAGTTTATCCTCTAAACATTTATAGAGGTGCTGCAATAGGTTGTACAAAATAACCGGAAAAAACGTATATTAACTAGATAAGAAAGTCATGTGTTGGACACATCAGATTTTTTCGTATAGATATGTATATATTTTTATTTTGTTAGTTTATTATTTCTGCAAAGGTAGACAAAAATTATTTTATTGTAATTACATGTGGCTTGGAAATATTTTTATTTATGCTGTAATGTAGGTAACAAATATATTACGACAATTTATTGGGAGAGGATAAATTATATTTTTATATAAAAAGATTGTACTTTTCCACTACATATTGAATAAAAAAGAGATTGACCTACTTGTTTAACTATTATTAAAGGAAATGATATAGAAATTAAAGAATATGCTCAAGTTTAAATCATTGGACTTATTATTAGATAATTTTGTCTTACTTTGTTGTTTTAAATAAAACAACCAAAGTTAGTATATTGAAATTTTTTTAAATTTTACAAATTTTATGCTTATGGATTTCCAAGTTAGGTATGCATATTTTATAAAAACAACTCGTTTTTTAGCAAGATATTCTGATGTATGCTCGAGGACATCTGTGATTTCTCTCAACTTTTCTTCTAGCTAGGTTTTTGTACTTGAACTGATGATTAAGATTTCCAGGCACAACAAGCCTGTTGATGATAATGAACTGCTTGAATCTGATGTTTTTTTTTTAATATAGACGTACCATGTACCAAGCTGTAGATTCACTTTTTATAAAATTTCAGGCGTTATATATTCTTCTTTAGACAAGTCTGTAGTATTTACTTTTGCTTCTAAAATTCCTAGAATGTCATCAAGACATCAGGTACAGAGGAAACCTAAAACATAATATTTTTAAAATTGTATTTTTAGTTCGATTAAGTATATTACCTCTTATATAAGTATTTATAAGAAAAATGTAACTGGACATTCGGTTAATTGTTTACGACGTTTATCTACGCCATTCTTTGTTTTTATAGTAGTTAAACCATTTTGTAATTTTGTAACGCTACCTGATGAATAAAATATTTAAATTTACACCAGGCATTGTAATCTGAAACGAAGAAAATAGTTTAGAAAATAGTTTCCATTTTATAGAGAATCCTTATCAATTCTATTCAAATGTATAAAAATTATTTATAAAATAAAGTTGAAAAACAACCAAGAAACACATGACATATGACAAGAAAAAGTGACAAATGACAATTGACATAAATATGAACGTTCCTAACTCAGATTAGATGTTCATAGTACTTTTCATGGATACTTTTTTTAGCAAATTATTTTATTACGTTGTGTTACCATAACAGGTAGGTTAAATAGGTAAGTAACAAATAGAAGTTTTGCGAGGTTTTGATTTCCCTCAGTAACTTCTCATGAACGTGGCATTTACGTTGTATAGTAATGTTATTACGTTCCCTTAAAGCAACATCGCCGAAAGGCTTGGCAACGTTATGTGCTAGCTGGGTGGTCATTAATAATTGAAAAATTGCATCTGTTGCATTTCATTTAATCAGCGAAAGTTTGAAATCTTATTCTATTACAACCATATCCAGTAAAAAGTTTTCAAATGGCTCCTTAGTCGAGATCGTCTAGAGGACCTGTACAACATACGGGCCGCATACGGCCCACCATCGTTGTTTTCGTAGCTCGTTGGTCGTTGACCAGTTCGGCCCGCCTACGTCAAACATAATACATTTTTCAGTAACAAAATTGCATTTAGGCATCAGTTGCCTTTTGTAGGAGCTCGATAGAAGAACCTGGTTCATTATAAGCTGATGACCTTTTCTTTAGAAGCTCGACCAGCAGGAATTGGTTTATAAATTATAAACTAATAATGACCTGTTTTTTTTTTAGGAAAGCTCGGCAGAAGGTCTTTTGGTTTATAGAATTATAAGGTGATGACCTTTTTTTTAGAATCTGAACAGACCCTATACGCTCAGGCCTCTCTTGGCCCTCGTACACTTACATTTTTGAACTGGTCCTTTGAAAATCTGAGTTGTGCAGGCCTGGTCTAGAGCTTGAAAGCGTAAAACGATAATGCGACATGTCGTTCGATTCCTGCAGTGGGATTCTCATCTTTCAATACAGCATATGTCGAAACGCCTATCTGTGCTGCTCAGGTCAAGCGATTATTATTAAAAAAAAAGAAATATGGTGTATAGTGGGTTGCGAAAATAATAAATAAATTACTAATAATATAAAATAGTTTGTGGTGATTTGCATTTGTTTAAAAAAGTGGGATATGTGGTTTCAATGGAATATAATCCAGAAATGAACGTATTTTGAATGTCCAGTATTCAACGTCCAAATATAATCTAGAATTGGACGTCCTCTGGATGGTCAAAGGAAAAGTGTGCCATTTGTATACTTCACACTGGAAGTCTAGAAAAATTTATGTACGTCCAGACATCCAAAATTGTATATCGAATGAACGTCCAATGGACCTATTTGTGCTGTCTGGGTGGCTTTATTAAAATCACCCATCATAATAATACACCATCCATACAGGTTTATTTCGATCCACACTTATTTTCTTTTGTATGTCGTTTACTGTAAATTATCACACATTTGCAAATAAAACAGTTACACTTTATCTACACTCAAATATTTGAAGCTACACTGAACAAATCAAACGCGATTAGTGCAGAACACTTCTGTGCAACAAATAAAATCTACTATCAGTAACTTTATGACACTTTTAAACTTAGTAAAAAATCGGCACATCGGCAGTTCCTCTATCCTTGGTTCCTCCATGGTTCTTTTGTTCAGGGACCCAGACCGAACCGTTATTAACCGAAATTTTTTTTGAGAACCGGAACCGTACCGGACCGGATTTTTGTAAATGTGATAAGAACCGGAACCGAACCGAACCGTCAATTTCATTTCGGTCCGGGTCCCTGTTTTTGTTCTTAGAATTTTTTAACGAAACAAAATTTGTTGAATGAGGTTTTATTTATATTTTTGAAAATAGACGTACTACAATATAATAAAAAAAACTAATTTGTTTTCTATCGAATATCTCGGAAACCTTTCCTCATATATTTTGGTTTTCAACACGTCCTTGAAATATACAACTATTTCCCATTTCGTTAAACCAACTTTGTGTCACCAACGGTTTGCGAGATCTTTTAACAATTCATTTCAATTAAAAAGTGGCCACCCTGTAGATGGGAAATTTTATTGTTGAACATCACCCTGTATTTGAATATTTGTATTCCTTATTTTGAATGGAGGATAGGCAACTTAAGTTATCTTCTCTGTATATTTGGTTGCATACACATAATAATCAATAACACAATTTCACGAAATATCAGGCCATCTCATGTAATACTGTCGTTTTTAAAAGTTTCTTCAACCTCATTGGTCATATTTGACACTGATCTAGTAATTGACATTTCAATTACATCAGGCCAGTTTGTTTTTAAAATTTTTTTGACATACTGCGTAACCTTTGACTTTTAACAGCTGATTTAGTGATTTTTGTTATCGTTTTATACCAAAAATTCAGTTTAATTAAAAATGCAGGTAATGTTAAGATATATTTAAAGTTCCTAAACCCTGTAGTGCAACATTTCAAGACTTTTTACACAATTTACACTACAAATTAGTCAAAAACATGAATTTACCGGAGTCGGATAGTGAAGATGAACTTCCTCCGGGCTGGGAAGAAAGAGTTACTGTAGATGGAAGTGTTTTTTATGCTAACCATTTAACGAAAAATACGCAATGGACACATCCTAGAACAGGAAAGAAAAAGAAGGTACACTTTGGTACACAATTTACATAATTTTTAATATTTTGCCACTATTAAAAAAACCATTTATGACTGACTTTCAAAAATCCTAAAGGATCTTAAACCCGATATGGTTAAATAATACTTATATAAAAGGATTACAAAATTATTTACACGTATTTACATACACAGTTAAAAATATAAGTAGTTATAAATAAATTGTTTTTCTTTTAGGTATCTGGTGAACTACCTTTTGGTTGGCAAAGATGTGTAGACACAAATACTGGGAAAGTTATATACGTGGACCATGAAAATCGACGAACTACTTATACAGATCCAAGGTTGGCATTTGCTGTTGAAGAAAAAGAACATGTTAATGATTATAGACAAAGATTTGATGCTTCGAGCACAGCTTTACAGGTAAATATAAAAAACTGACAATATACACAGGGTGGCCAGACCAAAACGAAAGAGCCATCAATAACTGTGTCAACATTTTAGACAAATACTCTGACACATCAATTTTTTATTGTTTCTATCAAGTCTTGCCAATAGTCAAATTCAAATTATCCAGAAGTTTTCCTAACTTTAAATCCGATATTTCTGTTACTTTTTTTCTATTAAAGTTCGCCAAAATATTACACAGAAGCAGTTTTTTTTTTCTACAGAATGAATAATATCTTGAATGACAAAGAGAAGACAAAACAAGACTGCTCCAGGCAAAGTGTTTAATTATATACTCTATTCTTGGGAAAATCCATATTGCTTTTAGAAAATCTCCTAATTTGATTATGCTATACATAAAGATCACCATTTTTTTAGATAATTATATGTCGAGGGGCAAATCACTTCCGCAATACGTGTACAAAATGTCCGCAATCCCATTGAAAATCGCCGCAGTCTCATCAAAATCAGTGACAATCGCTAAGAAATCGCCGCAGTCGTTCCGAATTCGCTCGCAGTCGTTCCGAATTCGCTCGCAGTCGTTCCGAATTCCCTTGCAGTCCCCCGAATTCTTTCGCAGTCACTGAGCAATCGTTAAAAATCGCGCACAGTAAGGTGACATTAACCTATTGCCATTGTTGGCTAGGGTGCTTTGATTAAGCCATCTAAACCATTTTGTGTAAAGAAATTGCAGTTTACATTTATCGAAAGGGTCCTTTCGTGCATTTTGAGGTAAGAACTATTAACCTAAATTTACATTTTGGAATTTGAAGGTCTTTTTAGGATATAAATTTAGACAATAAATCTACAAGATTTTACAAGGTGGTCGAAAATTGTCCTTTTTCATCTAATTTTTTTTTTAATGTATAACAAAATTGTTGGTATTTTATGGGGGGTTGGGGTGATACACGTTTTAATTAGGGTTTTAAATGTATTTTTACTTTCCTATCTGTGTACAGATAAGGAAAGTATAGGAATCATGATTTTTTCGACCTCGAATTTTCGACGGTTTTGGGGTCTCCTGAATCCATTTTGACTATTTTCGCGATGGTGTCCGTGTGTGTGTATGTCTCTCTGTGTGTGTGCGTGCGAGCGTGCGTGTGTGTGCGTGTGTGTGCGTGCGTGCGTGCGTGCGTGTGTGTGTGTGTGTGTGTGTGTGTGTGTGTCTGTGGAATATATCTGTTATTTACGTTTGGAGGAGAAAATTCTTCAAATAAAAGTTACTTACAATATTATTATATTGTGATATCAAAGTGATTCTGATACTTCATTTTTAAACATAATTGTGATCAACAAAAAAATGAAGGTAAAAAAAATAAGCTTTGTTGGTTATTTTCCACTAAAGACGGGCGCTTGTCAACTGACAGATTACTTCGTGTAAAAGCTACATCCTCAGCAGTACTAAATAACAAAAAAAATCCAGTCCAGAAAAAAACAGCTAAAATACCAAATAACTACAATGACAAAGATGTAACAGAAAGTGAAAAAACTACCGGTGAAAATACTTTGCTCCAGAAAAATATCAATGGCATTTTAATTAGGATCGAACAATATTACGCAGTTCTTTACGAGTCGTGGTACATAGGTCGGATTGTTCAAATAATTGATGAAACCACTAGTAAAATAAAATTTTTAAATTCTGAACTTGAAGAATATTTATGGCCAAAAAAAGACGACATTCAAATTGTTAAAAATAAATTCATATTTTACGGACCCATCAATTTAATTGGATCTGGTCCATTTAAACTAGAAACAAATGATAAGTTAAACATTGATAAAATTTGTAAACGTCTAAAAAACACTTTTATGAAATTTTTAAATAAAAACCTCCAATTACTTAATTATTTAACTTGTTTTATTTACCTGTACCTATTTGTTCATTTAGGCATATCAAAGATATCTAATAATGGAGGCATATAAGTACCTACATAAAAGTTTATATTTCGTGAATCACATCAATTAAAACTGATCTTCCGAATGAATAAAAAACGTACAAAAAGTTGATTTATTGATATATTGATAAATTTGTGATACACACTTAGTTTTAAATCAATGCATTGTATTTAGCACCCATACATGTGCTATACAAAATTTAGTTTTTCTGATGAAACACCTAGTTAATGCTCTTTTACTGGAAACCAACTGGTAATCCATATAATATCGTAGAAATCCTTCAGAATGCGTGCAATTTGCAATAATACTGGCAATCCATACGTTAATCACCGCAATCAATAGGGAAATTGCCGCAATCAATAGGGAAATCGTTGCAGTCAATACATAAATCACCGCAGTCACGGGAAATCTGTCGGAAGTCATGTGGAAATCACCGCAGTCATCCAGAAATCGCCACAGTCAACCAGAAATCGTCGCAGTCATCCAGAAATCGCCATATGATTGCGGAAATCATATGAATTCGGCAATACATGTACATTTTTACAAAGAGTGATTTGCCCCTCGTTATATGTACATAAATAAAACTATTTTTTATATTACAAATATATTTGATTTTAAATGATTTCATAGTTTCATACATTCATTATAATATAAGATATATACCCATTTTGTAGAACATTGAATTAATTATCCAAAGTGATATGAAAATTACTTAATCCAAAAATTCGAAAATCGGATAATTATCCAGACATTGGCAACATCATACCTTAAACTGTCATAAGTCATTCCCCTCCCCTTCTACACTCTAACCAATACATTTAAATATGGAAAATACTAAGTATCAAGTATGACACATCATTGAAAAGATAATTTTCTGGAGAATTCACCAATATTTCATTACTTTTGATTTTAGCGCCCTCTAGTGGGTTAAGAACAATATTGTTTTGTTACACTTCATTTAAAAGCTAATTTTAGTAATTTAATATGTAGCATACATTTCTTATTTTCGTTTGTTTTGTTTAAAAGTACTAGTAAAGCAAATAAACTACAACAGAAATAAAATTAGATTTAAAAACCAGGACGTAAAATGGTTTAGTGAATGGGATTTAATTTAGATGAAAACATATTATTGAATTTTCACTGCGAATATGTTTCCAAAGAAATATCAAACAAGCTATTCTTCTTCTCAAGGATTGCATCAAATATCTCTCTCTCTCTCTCTCTTTTCAAGATTAATAGTTTATAAACGTATCATATAACCATACTTTGACTACTGTGGATCTTTAATGTTTCAATTGGATATTAATTGCAATTAAACTGCAAAATAGAGGAATGAGAATAGTCCTATGATGTAACAGATACACTCCTATCAATCATATGCTAATGAATTTAAATTGGATTTATGTTAAACAAGGATTTTATTATTTAGCAATTCTTTTTATTTACAAAGTCAAAAATAAAAAACTTGTACCTAGTACCTAAATTATTTTATCATCTATAATAATGAAATACATGATTATGATACAAGATCTATTAATAATTTTTATAAACCACAATCAAGACTAGCTTTAACAACAAAATCTATTTTTGTATATGGATTTCATGAATTTAATTCTTTACCTCCTGAAATTGAAACAAGTACCTCTCTACCTCAATTTTAAAAATATATGCTTCAATTTATTTTCCCTCCGAATAGTTAACATGTATGTATTTTTATTTTATTTGAAATAAAAAAAAAATTTGTTTTTTTTTTAAATTTTATGTGAACTTTTAACTTTTTTTTTGACTAAATTTATTTGTACTACTATAATGCTGTTTTAAAAGTAAAAATTTCTTTTAGATAGTTAATATAAAATCTAAAAGAATGTTTAAAAATTCACTTAAACCTTACACCACTATTTATTTGGCCTTAATGCCCTTTTTAACTTTTAGGATTTCATTTTACGTTTTCATTTATAAATTATTCAAACCTTTTAGGTGCTACATGGTCGAGATTTAACTGGAAAAACAGCTTTAATTACAGGATCAAATGCCGGCATTGGTTTTGAGACAGCCAAGTCTCTTGCCAAGCATGGTTGCACTGTGATAATGGCTTGCAGGAATTTGGCGGCAGCAGAAGAAGCAATAAATCAAATAAAGGAAGATAAACCTGCTGCTGGAGATAACTGCATAGCTATATATTTGGATCTTACCTCACTCTCTTCTGTGGTAAGTTTTTTTGCATAAAAATAATTTGATGTTATTATTTTATTACAGAACGGCATGTTACGTCATGCTACAGCATGTTCCGTCAAGGTATATCTGTTTATCTGTGTATATTTGATACAAACTGTATTTATACATATAAAAGTGTTAGATATTTGATATGTACGGTAAGTTTCTTATACTAATCATAATATTTTGTAGATTCAATTTGCAAATACTGTAAAAAGCAAATATGACAGAATAGATATGCTGATATTAAACGCCGGCGTTTTTGGGCTTCCATTTAATAAAACCCTTGATGGGTTTGAAACTACTTTTCAAGTAAATCATTTGTCACATTTTTACCTCACCATTCTTCTTAGGCCTCTGCTGGTCAGTGGGTCTAGAATTGTTGTAGTCGCTTCAGAATCACACAGGTAATAATTATTTTGTTTTTCTTAATATAATATACCAACATAAAATAATTTGCATATTTAAAGATATATTGAAAAGAATAAGTTATCCATTACAAAAATGTGGTATAATCGGTAAGAAAAAGCTTGGCTAGACCAGTTGTAGTCTGATTTCAAATTATAAAATTAATATTTGATTAATATAAAAGAAAACGTGTTATTTTCAGTGGAAAGTAATAAATTGGGAGACCAATAATTTTCTGGCAAGCTAATATCTAAATTATTTGATAACATTTAAATAAAAATTGATTTAAGTATACGGGTTGAAAACTTTTTTTACAGGGTGATCTCAAATCAACCCATTGTCAAAATACTCCCTAGAATCCACCCCTAACATTCATTTGTCAAATTGCACCCTTATGTTTTTTTATATATATATAATATGATAGGTATAGTAAAACCAGAGATCTAGTGACTCTCATAAATCATATTAGCCGACGACCCTCATTATTACTATTGTTCGATTTGTAGATAAGCGATAAAATTGTCTGTTTGTTAAAAGATTCCCAGGTCCGGATTAAAATATATATTCTTATGAAATAGTAAAGAATATGTTTTTTTAATATTATAATTGAGGGCCCTCTATTTCAAAATTTTAACAGTTTTGAATGTAAAACTATTTTTATAATAAAAAATTTCCTAGAATTTAAAGTACTTATAAATAAAATTTACTTGCCTGACCACCTGACTTTCTGTACTAAACGTCTATTGAGGAGATTAGCGATAATGGGATATAGAGTTACAAATAAATTTGGAGACTTTGGAGACAAGAATACTATTGTTTAAGATATTGAGTCCTATAATTCCAGACAGATTAGAGAAAGTTAAGTAAATAATGGGGAGTTAGTTAGTATGTAACTTTTGAGAACTGACCAATTACCGTTTTTAGAAACGAAAGGAGGATAGTACTTAAATTAAATTCAGTCATTAACGAATATTCCGTTGTGTCAGTTCCGTTTATTTCGAAGTGTCTTAATTTTTTTAAAAATGGCTAGAGTAGGTACGTCTCTGCGTAGAGACGGCCGCCTGCTGATAAGTAAATTACCTGCTGTTTTATGGCAGTCACTAGAACTCTGGTTTAACTATACAATAGACTAGTCCCACAGATATGAATTTCCTTTTTCTTATAAATTTGTTATGAAGGGAACAAATTTATTTATTGATTTCTTTCTAAAGTTATTATTTTCCAAGAAATACATAAAAAGTTATGTTATGAGTCAACATGGATAAAATTTGGAATTTAGAAGTTGTTTCTATACTTGCTACTAAATTTGACTGACTTCATTGAATGTCTTTAATACACTGTTGCCAGATTTAAGATTTGTTCAAATTTACTTCAGTTGGTTAATTTGATTGTGAAGTGTCAAGTTATATTTTTGAATTTAGATGTTATGATTACATTTTTCATTTTTTAATAGGACAAGTTTCAAAAAATATACAGGTTTTTTTCAATAAAAACTAAATAATTTTATAACTACCTCAGTTTTTTATGAAGAAATGAAAATAAGTGCAAACATCAATCTTGTAAAGGAGGATGTCATTTTGTTCATGTGTCGTAACTTTTACTTTCCTGTCCCTATTGGAACCCCACATGGTGTTTTCAATTGAACAACACCCTGTATATTATTGCATTTTTCTATTCTCCTCTAATATTCGATTCCAAAAATGTATATAATCCTCATGATTAGTGATGGTTTGACATGGGGTTGATTTCTTTACATTAAGATGCCTTTTTAAATAGTAAAGCTTTTCTGCTTCACCTAATTTGAAACTATTATGTACTTAGGATTATGTAAATATTTTAACCCTTAAATACGAGTATTCGGGGTATGTGGTTATTTGATACTTGGGGTAATCTTGTAGTTTAGGTGGTTAATTAAGGGGAATGTCCACACCATTCCTGCTCAGACTCACTCTGATAATCGGAATCGTTACATATTTGCCAGGATTATATCGATGGTTTAGCGCACACATGTGTTAAGTAACATTTTCTCAATATTTAACAATTTAAGTTCAAAGGTTTAAAATTATCTGTTGTTTCACATGAAATGTATTTAGCAAACCCTTTCAACACTTCTTCGTTGTTTCTGATTACATAATAAAGCGAGATAAAGATAAATGTTAAAACAATTTGTCTCAAAATTGCACTTAACACCTGTGTACGCTAAGCCATCGATATTTGAAATCTAGGAAAAGCAAATTGAATTATCAGAGATGCTGTCAAACATAAATTTCGAGGACAAGGAACATTTTTTGTGTAACATTATTTGCTCTCAAAATTAAAAGATAAAAAACTAACAGCAAAAAAAGAATGGAAATATGGCAACGTGGTAGGTGTAAAATTAAATTCTAAATATCAGTGCAGAGTGGTGTGGATATGCGCATTATATTCTCCCTAAACTACAAGATTACCTTACTTAGGTATAAGCAGAACATACTGAGTTAGCCATGCCGAGATATTATTTTAATTATAATTTTCTGATGTTTAAGTTTGCTAATAAATCAAAAGAATTGAAACATGAATAGTAAGAGTTTTGAAATGATTCGCGTTCAGTTAATTGCGCATTAATATTTTCATAAAGTGGATCCTATTTCCTATTGTAGAAGTTCAAATTTATTAACAACACTACTCTCGTTTTCTAATCTTATTTCTATTTCGATTAGGAGTGGTTTCTGACAAATTATCTTTTAGTTAACCCTCGAGTAAACCTTTAATAAAAAAAAAATTGTTGTTAGAAAATTTGAAATCAGTGTTAATTTACTTTTAAGTACAACATGCTGATTTTTTAGTAGGTACTTACGTTGGCCCTAACATAACATAAGCGTAACTAATAGGGTAATAAAGAAGAATTGCCCACCAATACGGCGCTAAATACTCAGCATATTATTAAATCCAACATCCAACCTGGTGCTTGGTACGTTGTGTAGACGATGCCGACGTCCACACCGTATGAAGCGCCAAGCAACAGCAACTGCTTTACATATCTATTCTACATCTAGATAGAAGCGAAAAGTTTCTGTTTGCGCTGACGATGCAAGAAATCCAGCTTTGCGTCTATAGCAATGATTTGATGCTTCTTACATTAAGTTTATTCGCTCCGTGCAAAGTCATGGAAAGGGAAGCAAAAGCCATACTAGCGCTAGCTGCGGATAATTCGTGCATTTTAGGGCGATATTTTGTAATTTTGGCATATCAAATACACGTATACATTTTACTTTTTTTTTTTAAAGTAGATAAAAACAATACAATAAGCAACCGGAGTTGCTGTGTTGAAAACTATACAAATACTAGCAAAAAAAACATTGAAACTTATATAAAAAAATTCAGTAGCAAAGTGGAAATTAAATCAAAGAAATAAATGGATAGGTGTACAATAAGAAGACAAATTACCTTTATTTTTGTAATAATAACAGTAATGCTGCAAATAGTAGACATCAGAAACTTGAAAGGTTTAAAATAAACAATAAATTATCATTTTACGATATTCTTTAATATCCCTTTATTCATAAATGTTCATTCAGCAAGGACTAGATTTCAAGATTTCTGCCTTTGATTATTATATGTGGCTGGAATGCAATATTGTGAATTACTGATGAGAAACCAGTTTTAATCAATCATTCTGTTTTCTTTTGAACAAAAATGAAAATATTAATAACGATGATTCTTTATACATTTTAACTTCACGCTATTATTAAATGGTATGTCTTTATTTTGACAGAAGTAAGCTAATAATCCTTCAATCACAACTTATTAGACTTAGGCAACTTATCATACATTTTCAAGTAAATACTGTCTGCCTATATTTTACTGTCGACTTCAAAAAAGGAGGAGGTTCTCAATTCGTCCCGATATTTTTTTTAATGCATGTTTAGCGATAATTCTTTAACAGGGTGTCCGATTTCAATGATTCTTTTTTTGTTAGAAAGGGGGCACTTCAGGGGTGGTCCCATAATAATTTGGTCAAAATCTAATAATTGGGTCCATGAGAAAATCCTCAAACTCTTCATTTTTTATGTATGTTTAGCGATAATGCTTTACCACCTTGTCCGTTTTATGATTCTTTTTTTTGTTTTGTTAGTAAGGGGGTACCTCAGGGGTGGTCCCATATGGAATCTGCACGTTTTTGAAGTCGGTTTTTTTAAATTTTTAATTTCTAATACTTGTTGGAATAATCCTTGTCGACTCAAAACGCAAACTTAATCTTGTCGTTGATGCAATATGCAAATAATCATAATGAAAAAATCACCACCTAACAAAATTGCAAACGGCTGTAAAGAATGCCGTCTCGGCTCGGCGTGCGTCTGCGATTTTACACTGAGCAGACCCGGTTTAAGAATTATGTATAAAGGTACAATGAATTTTGAGCTTTTAAATATGTAAGGCATTCTTAGTAAATATCTAGTGTCTTAAAATAATATTAATATTTTTTAGGTTTGCCAATCTTACACTTGAAAATCTAAGCCCGCTAACTTTATCGCCAGAATCTGCAAGCAAATATTGGGATATGGAGGCGTACAACAATTCAAAATTATGCAACGTCTTGTTTGCTCGACATTTAGCCAAAAGTTTACAAACCGTTGGTATATCGGTATTCAGCTTACATCCTGGAAACATGATTTCGACAAAGTTAGCTAGAAATTGGTGGTTATACAGGGTCTTGTTTGCTATTGTAAGACCGTTTACGAAAAGTCTGCAACAGGCTGCCAGTACTACTGTGTATTGCGCTACTGCCATTGAATTAGTTGGTGTCACAGGTTAGTTTGAACACAATACTTTTATAGACATGTTTCTGATTTACTTTTACCACAAAGATAATACTAATACATCTTATTTTTAGCCAATTGCTTGTCAATTAACCATAGATTAACACTATCCCCACTCATCTCTTCCTTTAATATGGTCCCATACAGCACAAACACATTTCAGAAATATTTCAACAATGTTACATTGAAACATTTGCAATGTTGCATAAATATTACCAAACATCCCAGAGACATTTCTGAAATATGCCTGAAACATAAAAATGTTCCCTAAATATAATATTTCACAGTAATATTTCTGAAATGAAAATTAGAAATCTTTTAGAAATATTAAATAGTAATATTTCAGAAATGTATTCTAGTTTTTTTTCTAATATATTATTAGATTAAAAAAAAGACATTTAAAAATATACATGTTTATTTAAAATACACAAAACTCAAATATTGAATCTTAAACAAACAAACAAATAAATAAATAAATATGTTTTAAAGAATATTTCATAAAATATAGAAGCGAATTTCTTCATTTACACCAATTCCTTTAAATGCACTAATTTGAAACAACTAGGTTTTCTTTTAATAAATGTTCCAAGTAAAGAAACATTTACGATTATTATAATCTAATCATTAAGATCAATTAGCAATTTTATATTTACCTAACTTATCTAGGCATGAAAAACTTTATAAACTAAGATTCTACTCACTATATAGTGTACTTTAGAGTCTAATTATTTAGTTACACTACCGTTAACGTATAATACTTAACCGCACTATACTCTGTTTTAATCTAACATCACTGAACCAACTTAAAAGGCCTGGTTCTGTTGAGTCTTCTTACTAGATTGTCATTGTTGAGGAGCTAGATAATCTCAAGGTTTCCATGTTGGAGCAGTCATTGTTGGTGACAACTGGCAAATTTTTGTATTGTATTTTTAACAGTCTCCACTTTAAGGTCCCTATGAAGATCAGTATTACGGTAGTACCAGGATGCATCGACGATGTTCCTTAATACTTTATTCTGGAAACGTTGAATAACTTGGATGTTTTTTTTACTGGCACAGCCCCAAAGCTGGCAAATTGCTTCATTTTCACCAATTCCTTTAAATGCACTAATCTGAAACAAAATATAGGTAATTAAAAAGGATTTATAAAAATTATTTGAATAACAATAGTTTTATTAATATTGTTTTAAATTAACTATAATAAAACAATACTCAAGTCTAAACAAAACATGAAGATCCACCTAAGAAAGTATTATTTATGTGGTTGTCAGCTTAATTTCTAAAGACCTATTCTGCTTCCCATATAACAGGTTCACAACGCATGAATATCAAAAACTTAAATCTATAATTATTTAGAATATAGGCTTGTTTCTAGCTGGTGGCTGGACAGGGACACAATAAAATAAAAAATAAAATAACTACATATCCCATATTCTTCTTACAAATCAGAAATTATTCATTAATTGTTGGCCTTTTATAACATAACCCATTTAGTAACCTTTTGTGTAACATGTATACCATGTTTCAGAAACATTTGCAGTGAAATAGTTAACTAAAATATTTCAGAAACTTGGCTTGAAATGTTATAAGTTTGAAACGTTTGAAATATTTCTGAAACATTTCTGAAATAATGTGTGCTGTATGGGGTCTCTCCTCATTATTTTTTTAAATTGCAAGAAGGGTCCTAAGGCACTTTTTTGGAATGTTTTAAAAAGCAGAATATGTCTGGTATAATGGGTTATTTTTCCTCTAGTCTAGTTTTTTTTTTGAAATGTCAGGAAGTAAATGAACACATAGCATATTCTGTAATAATTTATAATTCTTTATAGTTAGGTATAATTTATTAATTTTGAAGATGTAATAGAGTACCTTATGTTTATTTTATTTTTTTAATTTAAAATTATTGTGTTGCATAAATTCCCTTTTTTAAGCTCTCTTCAACAAAGTGATACACCACCCTTCTTGTTATTAAAAAAATTGAAGGAGTAATTGTCAATGTGAAGGGGATGAAAGGGAAAGTAGATTTTTTGATGGTATAAAATACCTCAATTAAAATAACAATTGACGCGTCCGTAGGGTTGCCACCTTTTTGAAAAGTGAATAAAGGACATTTTCAAGAAACCTTAGATAAACCGGCTTTATGAATGCGAGTAGGGCCATCGCGCAAAGTATCACGGTAAACCTCTTAAAATGCACTGCGGGCAGTTTTTTTCACTTTTTAATAACTTATTATTGAACAATAATATCTTAATTAGGTAGTTACATCATAATTGAATAAAAAAAAAACAACATAAACATAAATAAAAACAAAAATTAAAAACAAAAAAATATTTTAAGGTATGGTTCTGCTTGTGCATCCTCTGTATGCAACAGACTCACAAACCGAACCACACCTCTAGAGATTACTGAATTTAAATAGCTATTTGTATATCAAGAGTGAAAAGTGATAATTTGGAGTTGATATTCAAAGTCAATGTTACCTTGGATAATAAAACATAACATCAAACTACGTACAAATAATTTGAAAATCATTTATTAAAAAGAAATATTATTATATTACATCTAATTTAAATTAGTGTTAATTTAAATTCAGTTTCCGTGCTTTCGTCATAAAGATAATATTTATCATGGGCTTATGACTAATTTGTTGGAAATCTTCACCCATCTTGACGCTACACAACGTCTAGAAATATTTGTTTACAAAACGCAGTACCTACTTGTTTTATTATGTGGTTTAAAGGAAATTTCAGGTACATTATTTATTATTGATAAACTTAATTAAAAACCTTTACTACCGTTATTCTTATAATATGAAGTGAATGGTGTAGTATTTTGTATACATGTAAAGTAATAAAACTGTCACAATGCAGAATGCAGATTGATTCTATACAAATAATTTTGCGAAATCTCAATAATGTGATTTTGTAGATATCAATTTATCGTAAGAAACAAACTTTGACGACTTACGCTTGGAAAATAATTAAAACTTCAGTTTTGATTTTGACATTAACACCATGAAGATTGCAATTTGCTGGGGGTTTTTTTCGCAAATTTCATTTTTAATATAAACACTAGTTCGAATCCCACCGTTGGCCGGGATTTTTTCATTTAATTTAATTATTTAAAATTAATTCTGATGCCTTGGTAGGATTCCCCACTCGACCATTCACTGTTGGGTTCTAATTAACAATGTTGTTCCTAAAGTGGCGCTGGGAAACAGTAACAAAGCCTACACAGAACACGAGGCGAAATAATCTTAGCAGTTGAAGCCGATGACACACAAAAAAAAATAAACACTATCACACACTCTAAGAAATAAATAAATGTAATGATCACAAGTAAGAAAGAATTCGAATTATAATTGATACAAATTAAAATTTAAACAGAAAAGACGAATGCCAAATGATAAACTGATTTTAAAACAAAATTGATAAATGAACTGAAAATAAAAAAAAATCAATACAATAAATCCATTTTATAAAAATCCTTAAATAAAATATAAAGTATGATTGAGGGAGAGTGGGGAATCGTGCGCGATGGGTAATCGTGCGCATCAAACTATTTCATATTTCGCGGGCTTTTAAGCGCCACCGACTAGTGCTGTGCTCTCTCCTTTCTACTGTGCATCACTGACGCCATTATTTGAAATCCAGCCAATTTCTGTAATTTTTTGACGTCGGAAAATAAGACGGTGAGTCTACTTTTTTTCCTTAATTGATAAGATATACTTATTTTATGGAAAAGTATGATCTTTTGCATCTATTGATGCTTGTTTTACATTGTTAGGTTATGTAGTTTGCTAACTTTATTACAGATTGTCATTTAATATCTAAAATGGTAATGATGCGCGCTGATGCACACCATTACCCCACCCGTAATATAATTTTAAATATATTTTTTTTTCAGATGCCGAGAAATTATACAAGGAAAACCACAATTCTTTCATATAAGGAAGAAGATTTACAAAACGCATTATTTGCGATGAGAAATGATGGCAGAAAAATAAGGGATGCAGGCCTTCAATATTCCTGAATCGACACTCAGAAAAAACTGTCAGAAAATGAGCCGAAGCCTCCTCATTTGGGTTGCAAGCCTGTGTTTTCAGAGGAAATAGAATCTGAGTTAAGAGAGTACGTTTTAACGCTAGCAAAGCTATTTTATGGCCTAACACCCAGGTGTCTTAGGCGACTAGTTGAGCAATATGACATTGCCTATAAATTTGACAAGCTTGATTAGCTGGGAAGGACTTGATTAAAGCCTGAAGGATCCAGCTTGAATAGGATTGCATCTTTTAATAAGGACTCAACCAAATTATTTTTTTCAAACCTTTAAAATATCATGGAAAGGTTTAAGTTTGAACCCAAGAGTGTTTACAACATGGATGAGGCAGGCATCACCACGGTGCAGAACAAATGCCCAAAAGTTTATGGTCGTAAGGGATCTAAAAAAGTAGGAGCTGCAATTTCTGGCGAAAGGAATAACAATAACAGCTGTATTTTGTATGAATGCGGCTGGGAGCTACATCCCTTCCGTGATAATGTATCCTAGGAAAAGGATGCCCAAAACTCTCGAGAAAAATGGACCAATTGGAGTGTTGTACAAATGTTCTAAGAACGGTTGGATCAATTCCAGACTTTTTTTCTTCAGTAGGTCTATTGTTACTGCTCCTGTCTTTCTGGTTCTGGATAACCATTCCAGCCACATTTCAATTGCAGCTTATAATTTCTGCAAAGAAAATAACATTCAGATGGTCTCGTTCCTCCAGACACATCTGTTCACCTTCAGCCTCTAGATCTGACATTTTTTAGCCCTCTGGAAAATGCACTATTTAGGGAATATGATCTTTACTTGTCAAGTACCGGTCATCAAAAAATAACTGAATACGACGTAGCCGAACTTTTAAACAAAGCCTTCATGAAAGTGGCTACAATGGAAAAAGCAATTTCAGGGATTCGGAAGTCTGGAATATCTCCTTTGGATCTCGATAAATTTACTGATGCTGATTTTGAACCTAGCCACCATGTAGGAAAACTTACAGTAGAAGCAACACCTGAACTTGAAACTTCATCCAGTCAAGATGGTGCAGCAACTCTTCCAGATAATCAGCCAGATTTACATCAGAGAGATCGGTGCCCTCAGCCATCTACGTCTTACGATAATTCTTTCTTTGCTATGGCTCCAATACCAAAAACAAAAGTTAACCAGACAACGAAAAGAAAATCTAGGGACAAACAGAAATCGGAAATTCTTACGAGCACTCCCATCAAAACAAAACTAGAAGAAGCGGAAGAGAAAAAAAGACAACGAGAAGAAGCAATCAAAACCAAAGAAAAACTGAAAGATAAGAATAGTAAAGGAGTTATTCGCAAATGTTTGGACGGTGAATTATCAATTACATCGTCTTAAAATAAATTCAAAAGCAAACAAAAGAGACCGCCAACGCCTGAATCATCTGATTGATCAGAAGATGATATGTCGATATTTGTGACGACGATGAGCTGGATGATATTGAAGATAATGTTGACCTGAGCTTCGTACCGCCACCTTTGAACCAGCCAGGGAACCTAACCGAAGTTTGTGGTATTTGCAGTGAATTTGGCAAACAACGAGAATTATGGTACAGATGTGTCCCTTGCTCAACTTGGAACCATGCCGAATGTACTGGCTCAGATACCCAGAAAAATTATAAATGCGACCTATGCTCAAATTAGGAGTTAGTATAATGTTTTTTTTTTGTGCTCCACAACTTCAATAAATGTTTTTAAAGTTAGTGTTGGTTTTATCTTATTCTTAATACTTTTAATGCGCACGATTCCCCAACACTTGCGCACCATTGGTGCACCATTACCCGTAATGGCGGGAATGGTGCACAAGAGCACTTTTGAACTTTCAGCAGTATTGTACTTTAAATATTTTATTTTTTCCTCAAATTGATTTACGTGCGGAGAGTAGACATTACGGTATTTACATTTAAATTATCTACAATGGTATCAGTGCTATAACGATTTTCGCTTAAGTGCGCACAATTCCCCCACTCTCCCTTACATATTGCCAAACACAAATTTTGCTACTTAAAAAAAGGTCTTTTCAATTTTTCAAGGACTAAAAATCCGACGACGTAGCGAAATTCCGCTACTCCTGGCAACCCTGAACAAAGTCATATTTATTGACACCTTTTACAAATTTCCCCCAAAAGGGCGTATCACTTAGCATTTCCGTAATTTACTATTTTTTTTTTATAGGTGTTTACTTCAATAACTGTTACCAATGTCAAGAAAGTGCGGCAGCTAAGGACGATGAACTAGCTAAAGCACTCTGGGACACGAGTGTCGACATGATTCGGAGCGTCTTGGGAAATAATGCACCGGGATTAGAGTTTGAAAGCAAAAGGGGGTTAGAAGAGTGATGGCACATGTGTTGAAAAAAAAAAGGTAGGTCAAGAAAATGTAAAAACGTCAGTTATTTAATATGTTATAAATATTATGTTATTATTTTTAAGAATTTAATAGGCACTGTAAAGTCTTGCTTATCACCATACATTTTTTTTTACAATAAATACTTGCATAAAAAATCAAAGTTGAGATGTTCAAAAAAGTTAATTGGTTATAGACGACATTCTAAAGAATCGGTAGAAACATATAACATTCAAAACACAAAGTTATTTTATTTAATAGAGCAATGATCTTCAATTTTTACTGACATTGATTTCGTTATATCTTATTTTAACAACCTGTTGGATTTATGGTATAGTCACTTATACAGTGAACCAAATTGGCCGAAATATCATCAAGTGACACAGAAATTATATTCTCCAAGGGTATAATAAGTATCTATGTACTCTGATTACAGTGTTTTCTTCTAAATGTAACAAATGTCAGTTTAATCAATGAAATTAACATAATTTGCGCATAACGAATTTTATTTTCCAACAATTGTGACTGGCACGAGTTAGTATTTCAAAAACAATAATTGTAGTTTTAATTGGGAGTTGTAAATTTTTTTTTACTCAAGCATACAATGAAATTCCCCTGATGGACTAAAAAATAAGAAGAAACTTTTATTTTTAACTTTTAGAGAAAATGATATTTTTTATAATTGTTTTTGCTTGTTTTAATAATAATCCAAACAGAAGTTGAATATCTCTTTGCTTTAGTGAAATAATGACAAACTAAATTATTAATTTTTTTACATTTCTTGTCACTATTATACTAAAGAAAAAAATATTCAATTTCTGTTTGGATTATTATTAGTTTTGAAAGAAACATTTTGTATGAAGAACATTTTCTCACGAAGGCGAAAATAAAACAGATTTTCCTCCTTTTTCAGTCCATCCGGGCATAACAATATGTATCAATAATTAATAATTGATAAATATTGGTTTTTATTGACGGAAATTTGTTTCGCAATCACGGTATGCCATGTATCCAAACGATAATACAACAATGGAGTATTTACTCGTATTATCAATAACAATAGTCAGTCAACCCAATTGGTCGAAACAGCATCACTTGACGCAGGAATTATATTTTGAAGTAAAAAAAAATTCAAAATCAATACAACAAAAATATCGCGACCAATTTCGGCAATCCTCGGGCCTGTAATACAAATAAAAATTGAAGACCTTAACTTCAAAAGGGTCTAAGTGCCAAAAATATGGAAAAAAGGTATAAGTAAAATTCATTTTTTATACATCATATACGCACATACACATTCGCCATGTTTATCCCACTACAATAAATGAATTTCTTTGAAAATGCACTTAGAATCATTTGGATACCGTAAAGGCTAGTATATTGAACCTATTATGCAAAAATTTATATTTTTAATATTTTGACCCTTAGATCCTTAGACCCTTTTGAAGTTAAGGTCATCTATTGTAGATGGCAAACAAAAAATAATTAGTAAAAAATAATTGTTTGTTATCTACAATTATTTGTAGTTTTTGTATTACAGACCTGAGAATGGGCTTTTAGTCCAAAACTAGTCGCAACAAATTTAACTGAATAAATAATTTTTTGTGGTATTTTTATTTAAACGGTAACACTCGTATTCACTATTTTTACAAAATAATAAATAACATAAAACTGTGATAGGTTTTCTCAACTGGTTAGAAATACTCTCACTTGTGACGTTCGAACTGGGTGTGCTCGGGCGCCAGTTTGTTTTAGAGTAGTTTGCTCCACTTTACCTGTTGGAACAAGTTCCAAGAAGGGCTGCAGGTAGCTGCAATGAAGAATGACCAGAGGGTCAACGATATTATAGTAGTTATGTAGTACCTGAAAAGAGGGATTTACGACAAGGGAATGAAATGCCAGGTTACAATTTAGCACTTTTGACGTTTCGGTTGATATTCGGTGAAGCTAAATAATTGTATTTACAAGCCCTCCCCAAGTTATTGGATCTAACCCTGAACAAAATTAAAAAAAATTCGAAACGGAAATTAATGGGAAAAATTAAATAAAAGCTCAATCGGACAAATGAGGGCGTTTATGAACAAAACGGTGTCGAGAAAACGAAGGTCAAACCAGAAGTACTACGCGGCGTTGTATCAAGTCTACGTTCTTCGGCAGGGCGAACTTTCGGAATCTCATGAATTTCTCCTCTAAGCGTCTTAGAGCTTTTGACTATTCGGTTATCCCTAAAGCAGGAAATATAGACACGGCGGGGAGTGGACTGGAACGGAAGTAATGTGCACCAGAGAGATTGCAAATCTAGTTACAGCCTAACGGACCACAAGATTAATATCCTGGAGACGCAACCCCTGAGGATGGCGCTACAGGCTATGTAACCTCTTATAAAGCATACTCTGTGAGCGAAGCCGAATCAGCCCATTCTACCACGCGAGAGATTCACTGTGCATCGACTTACAATTCAGAGTCCAGTAAACTAGTCGGGAATTCACTAAAAGTCTAACTAACGGTGGGGACAGGGATCATAATTAAATAAACCAAAAGAACGTTAATAGCGGAGCTAAAGAAATTTACGAGAGAAATACAGACTTGTACTAAACGGCAGCGAAGGTAGCTAAGCTTCACTTCTGTTCAATAGCAAATCCGGAACATATCATCTGAGTTGGTTACCAAATTAGCCCATTCTACTGCGGAAGTAGCCACTGTCTTCAATAACAACTCAGACGATACTCTAATTCAGGGAATTTTATAGCGGAATGTACAAAAGAAATACTTGGGAATCCTAAACGGCCTAACAGGAAAGGAGAAGGGACGGGAATCAAATCAATTAGTTACTTAATGAATATTCAAGAAATTCATGTTATTTTATTCGAAAGAATTTAAAAATTAAAATTAAAAAATACGATTGATTAATTTCTTGGCAACCCGATATAATTAATTTTAAACAAAATATTCGGAGAAGTTCAAACCACTTCTAAGTTAATTACCCACTCAATATAAATATTTTTCAAACGAATATTTATTAAATTAACGGAAACTAAATTTTGTACAACACCAGTATAACTATTTTCGAAACCAATATTTACTAGTTTTAGTTTAACGGTTTTTTCAGTATTAATATTTCTTAAAACAAATCAAATTCTATTTTTTAAATAATCCGAACTAATATTTAATTGAAATGAATTAAATTATTTTATATGGCTCTCCACGTTATTGTAAAATTAGCAGACAAAATCCGGATTTGCTTCCAAAATACTGATAAGATTGCAAATAAAAAAATTAAAAAAAAAAGAAAATATAAAAAACTCGGGAATTTAACGAATTCCTGCTGGTTTCACACGGATTTCGGGACACACGGCTGAATGAATCTACAGAAATAATCTAATTACTTATCGGAATAGTGTACATTGGAAAACAAAAGAGATTTTGAAATTCTAACGGAATTGAAGCGGTATCGCAGTTCGATCTCAAAACAACTAGTCGCGAGAAGAAATTAAAATTTAATGCCATCCGCTATTTACCATCGGCTCATCGGTCACCATCTCTCGCGTCGATTTCAAATGCGCGAGATTGGTAGTGGGGACGCGATGAATTTACAGCAATAATAATTTAAAAGTCGGGGATCTTTAAGAAAAGGGTTGATCCAGTTAATTAAAAATAGGAATGAATTTTTAGTTCATTACAAAACTTTCCAAAATTAATATTGAGTAGTAATTGATGACAAATGTGATGACAAATGGAAATAGAGGTTACGTTAAATAACATCCGGTCCGCCATATTATTTGCCCAAATCGGCCAATTTTTCGGAACATTTTTTAATCCTATCCAGTAAAATAATACAGATCAGTGGGTTGAAACAAATAGATCGGAACGAGGGTAACGTCGCCTTTACTGAGGAACAGATTCATCTTCGTTTTCTAAAAGCTAGGTGATCAATAATTGTGTCCATTTCATCACGAATTTTTTGTATGGCATTTTCAAAGTTTTGTAGATCTTGTTTAGCCTAGATGGGGTCGTTATTAATCGCCAGCAGTTAATTAAAAATTATTTCTACATGTGACATGATTTTGTGAAACCAAAAGATGAAATCTCTGTTCTGTTAGTTTATATGCATCGGCTTGTTCAATCGTAGAATTCAATTTGATGTTTTTGTCTTTCTCTAAAATATCCATAACGTGTTTTAGCTCATTTCGGTACTCATAAACTGTGTTAACTCCCCGTGATTGAAAAGTTCCATCTCATTTGTGATGATCGTCTTAATCGTCTATGAGCTATATTATCCAATACTTTGGTTCTTTGAGGTGATGTAGAAAAAAAAGAACAAATTTCATTTAAATGAGCGAAAAAAAATCCAAACCATACATTAATTGAAGTCGCAATAAGGTTAATCTAATGTAAATAATTTAAAAAAGAATATTTATCTTAAATTATTTTTTGTACTTCATTTACCCCGTTCATGACTGATGCTCCGTCATAACTTTCTGCGATTAACTTATTTGGTGTGTCACCAATTAAAGGATAAATTTGCTATTGAATTGGCATTGTGTCCGGGAGGGTTTAAATATTTCCAAAATCTATCTACTTGATTATTGGAGGCATTGTATCGTAGAATGACTAATTGAAATTCGTTAGCGACATCAGTAGTTTCATTTGCAATTATAGCTACATAATTAGATTTTGTTTTATTATTTCTTTAGCCACTTCTTCGTGGTAAACGCCAAGCCTGTAATCCAATAATTTGGTCTGTATGGTCTTAAAGGTCCATTTAAATACTGTTGCTTTGTTGTAATGTTCCTTTAAATTTGTCTCTAATTGAGAACTAAAATATATGAATTCTCGGAACACGCCTTTATTTTTGAATTCTTCGTTTGTAATATGACCTCGCAATGCTAAGTCTAATACTCCACAAAATCTAATACAGTTAATAATGAATATATTATCTGTTTTTATCAACTTCTTGGTTGTTTTTAAAAATAGATATTTAAGCCTACCATGTAATTATACAGTTTCATTCCAGAATTTAAATAGTATAGTAGTCATTGAAATAAACAAACTTTATCAAAGAACAATTACCATGAATTTGGTCTATTCGGGAAAGTAATGTCTAAAAACATCTGCATTTCCCGACTACTGGCAGGCCCGGATTTGTATTATTTAATTTTGTTACTTTCTGAATCATTCTGTTTTGCGTTGCTACCGAGATAACCAGACCTAAATCCTTGTGATTTTTTTGTTTTGAGTCTTTAAAAAATATATTTGAGAAAGTTGTTTATTTTAATAACTTTAGACACGGTTAAAAAATAAGTTCCAACTTAGGAATCACTCTGTATTTATAAAAAGAATGTAATATTGACAAAGAGCAGATTTTTTCGCGAATGGACGCCAATTTTTGTGATATATAACAATGTCTAAAAATTGTTATGTAATTTTGATGTCCATAAGTAAAAGATATGTTTTTTAATTATTGGTACTATCAAGAAAAGGGTGTTGCTGCCATCATGTTTTGAGTTGTGATGTCCATAATACGTCATCAAAATCGATCTATGTCTGAACATTTTTCGTTACTTGCCCTGTAAGCCAAAAATCCGGTGTTCCGTCAATTTTGCCCAACACTGTGTTCCTTAGTGCCTTCCGTCACATATCTGTTAATGTCATTCCTGTAGTTTTCATGGAGACCTTAAGTAGGTCCGAATTGCCTTTATCGTTGTAATAGATAGAATTAATGATAAATAAAACAAGTAAATTTGAGGAAATATATTTATTTGTTTGAATACTTTAAGGAAAAGGATTTTATTGAAATGTTCTCTGCAATGAGTATTTAAACAGTCTCCAGTAAGAAATTACGGATTAGAAGTATTAAAAATTAAAAAATGGCTAATTAAATTAAAATGTACAATAAATACAAATATATACAACACTGGCAGCGCGACGACAAATAAATTAAAAACAAAAAAATCCGGTACATTTTTCTAAGACTAGTTACTTCAAAGCTATACAGGGTACCACCATAAGTGCACTGTTTTACACAAAATTTTTAAAGTGATCCTCAAAATTATTTTAAATTATTGACTGGGACATGAACTAATTATGGAAAACTAATAAATAATAAAAGTTCAGTTTGTTATAATTTTGAGGAGACATTCTGTGTAATATTTAGCATACTTTTGGTAAATTAATTTAATTTTCAATTTTATACCAAAAATATGCTGCCGTTATGGAAATAGTTGGAAAAATAATCCTGGAAAAGTTAAATTTTAACATAAAAGAAAATATAATTTGTTAGTTATATTATTTTAGATCTGTAACTAAAAATACATTTCGTATAACATAAAATACAACACCTCAATATGAGGTAAAAATTGTTAACAAAAATGGGTTTGTAATTTTAATACCAACAAAATTGAAAATACGTTTTATATTTAAAATGGCAGTATTCTATTTTACCGACCGGATCACAAAATTGTCATGATTCATACGTTCTAAAACATATCTAGTAACAACAAATGTTTTTACTTCTTTGCGAGTTTTTGCGAGACATGAATCGTGGCAGACAATAAACGAGTGACAAGCGACAACCACCAAAAAACGATAATTCTCTCACAAACGTATAGATGTGTTCTTCTTTCGGAAGATAATTCGTTTTATAAATGCTTTTTAATCAGGCACAAAAGGCGGTATGGTGTACATACATAAACGTGGAGAATTTATTTATTTGTGTAAGCAATTGCGAAAATATCCAGACATGTTTTTCCAGTATTTTAGAATAATGATTAATTGACAACCCAAAATTAATAAAAATTGCTTAAAAATGAAACCAAATTGAATACTCTCAAGTAGATTGTAAATATGTGATTTAATATAAAAAAATTAATACAAAGCGACAAGGTTTAAGAAAGGGATTTCTGTCTAAGCGATTTTTTTTAATACAGACACTTTATTGCTTGAAATGTTTTTTTGTCGTTTTAGCCACGATTCATGTTTCGTGAACGCTCGCAATTTTGACCGTGTTCTAAGATGCATATGTAGTGAACGAACTTGCATTCACTTTTTTCTTTAAAAGGGCTAAAGAAAGAAGGAAAAGCTATCGTTGGATAAGGGCAGGTTATGTGCTGCCTTTATCGAATGTCGCATAGGTTTCTGGTTAGCTAATAATCGAAGTATTTGACAATATTAAATAAAAAAATTGTTTGTATGGAATGAAAAAATCTTATTTTTGAAATCTCATCCCTTGTTAACCACCCATAACATTTATTTTTAAAATATCACCACCTTTTTTGTTGTGATAAAAATGTTTATCCTCATTTCAGTAATAATATTATTATAACCTCTGCCTTTTAGGCTTTAATGGTCAAAATTGTATAAAAAAAAATTTTAAATGTAATTCAGTTATTCCTTAGGAAAGGAAATATTTTTGACCATTTTTTTTTATTATGAAGATTTTATTGAATACTTATTTTATGAATTTATTAATATTTTATGAATATTTTATGAATATTTTATGAATATTTTATGAATATTTTATGAATATTTTATGAATATTTTATGAATATTTTATGAATATTTTATGAATATTTTATGAATATTTTATGAATATTTTATGAATATTTTATGAATGTGATCTGTCTAAATTACATATTTAGCTATTAAGAAATTTAAGTCTTCTTGCAAAAAAAAGGTGTAATATTAAAAATGTATGTTAGGAATGGTTTGTAGGGGATGGTTTAACAAGGGGTTGATTTAAGTTCACCCTGAAAAAGGCCATACAATATAAATCATATTATTAAAAAAAAAAAAATTAAAATAAGTTAGTATTTTCTGGCCAGAAATCTAGGACAATCGGTATATGTGTTCTATTGTTATGCAAATTAATGCAACATGTAATTAATCTATAAATAGTGAAATTGACTAATGAGTTTCTTGTTTTCACAACAGGTGAATAAATGTATTGTATCAAATTTTAATCAGTTCTGAAAAGTATCATTGCATATACATGGAGTTACGGAAACAAAGTATTTTACCTCTATCTACATAATATTCTCATCAAAAAAATAAACGTAGAGTTTTTATTTAAAATTCAAATCTCACTTTGTTTAAGGGCCGATTTCATAATGAAAATTAAAAAAGTCCATTAACTAATTGGGCAACTAAGTCCATAAGAATGTTGCGTTACCATCGATACAAGCATATACTTTAGTCGTACCACAACATTCCAATGGACTTAATTGTCCCATTAGTTAATGAAGCGTTTAAGTATTATTAATCGGACCTTAGTGAAACAATTATTAGTTTTTTCTACTCCCGTTTCATAATTAATCGATTAAATGCGAGTTACCCGTTTAATGATGAAATAAACAGATTTTCATAAGTATTTGGCAAATAAAAATTAATAAACTACAATAATCTGTTTTACATTTTTTGACAGTAGATTTAAAATGTTTGAGAAACGTTTGAAAACATTGCATTAAGATTCATTTGAAATAATTTTCACTTAAAATATGCTTGGGAATTGAAAATTAAAGAAAAAGAATGGTGGATAACATAACCAAATAATTTGCAAATTTAATTTATACTTTTTTATTAGGATTTGGCAGTCATAATTAGTTGTAATTAAAAAACACTTACTCGAGATGTAAAAAATGCATCGGATGTGGATATTCAAATGCAGCATAGGGTGTTTTTTTAATATTGCAAAAAAATTCAGAGGCGTGTCCCTTGGACGAAATGAAACAAAAAAGTTCCTATGGACATATGTCCTACGTCTCTTAGATTTTGAACTACAGGGTGGTAAAGTTATAAGAAAAAAACTTATTTTTTGCGATACATTTGATACCCCTGTATTTTTCTGAAAATTGGTACGCAGTTTCTATGCATTTTTCAATACACAAGTTAAACTTTTACATTCGCCATTGGCGTTCATGCGGGCTTTGAACTGAATATTTTTAAAAAAAAACGGTACGCCACTGGTTTTTCTTGTAATAAAAAACATTTCTGAATTCTTTATTTCTTTTATAGCATATGTGTTTTCTTGATCCTTTTTCGCTCGATGCATGGTTTTCGCATAAAAAAATAAAAACCATTTTCCTGCAATGCCTTACTGTATTTTTTATTTAGAGAAAAATAATGCATTGCAATTAAAGATTCTTGAGTTTGAGAGAAGCATTTTTTGTGAAGTTACTTTTTTCCGGTAAAAAATTAAAACATGCCTGTCTGATAAACATTAAAAATAGAATGTTTTTCATTTAAAACATTTAAGTACATACTTCACGGTCTAAGTGCGGTCTATCTTTTTACCACATTCTTCTCTTCTCCAAAAAAATAAAGTGGTTGCCACCAGTTTTTATGTATAATCATTGTTTTCATCAATTGTCAGTTGACATTGGCATCAGTCAAATTATTCAACGTCGCTGTTTTGGTGTAGAAGTTACAATTAAAAAAATATATAATTACACAAATAATGAAATGTGCGATATGCACTTCATTTATGGTCTGGCTAACGGCAACGAACTAGAAGTGCCATGCGTATTTATGCTGAACGTTAGCTCAATCGCGTTATTCCACATCACTCTATGTTTACTCGTTTACATAATCGCTTAAGTGAAACCGGCAGTTTTAAAAAACTTACCAGTGAAAACGGACATCCACAAACAGTTACTCCTCAAATGGAAGAACAGGTGCTCAATGAAATCGAGGAAAGCCCTACCACAAGCACTAGAAAGATTGCTCAGACGTTACACATTAGCCATTCCACAGTTTGGAATATTCTTAAAAGGAATCTTTTATACCCCTATCATATTCAGGGTGTGCAGGCACTTTTACCCGACGATTTTCCAAGAAGAGTGGCTTTGTGTCATTGGATGCAAGAACGTATGAGGCAAGATGCACTGTTTTTGAGAAAAATACTCTTCACCGATGAGGCTAATTTCTCCAGGGACGCAATCATGAAATTTCCACAACAATCACATATGGAGTGATGAGAACCCACATGCCGTGTTGGAAGGCCGTCATCAACACCAGTTTTCGCTCAATTATGGGTCGGAATTATTGATAACTTTCTGAAGGTTGACTGGAGAAGTATATCGTGGATTTCTTGAAAATGATTTGCCAACACTGCTTGAAGAAGTTCCTATTCAGCTAAGACAACGAATGTTCTTTTTACATGACGGTACTCCAGCGAATTTTAGTTTAGTTGCTCGGCAGTATTTGGATATTACATATCCAAATCGTTGGATAGTTTGGGAAGGTACCCAACCGTGGCCCCCACGGTCTCCCGACTTAAATCCGCTTGATTTTTTCTGTGGGGCCACCTTAAACATCTGGTTTACAGAACTCCAATTGAAAATGTGGAGGAATTGCGGAATCCCATTATAGCGTCATGTGAAATAATACGACAGACCCCAGGAATTTTTGAACGTGTCCGCCAATCAATGCGACTAGACTAGGCGCTTGTATTGATGTTTGAGGTGGACCACATACTTTGATTACTATACGAGGCAAGAGGGAGGTCTGACACGCCCAACATAGGGCGCGGCCATTTTGAACCCTGTGACACAGTTTACAGCTAAAGAATCATCGCTCACTCTGCGTCGGCACTTTTGATCTCAATGTTTCAGTTTATACACTGTGCAACTCGGATAATACAATATATGACAACCGCCTATAATAAAACAGCAGTCTTCTGCGTATCCTGAATTTGTATCCCTGGAGTGGATGTTATTTTGGAACTTTCAACTGGTCCGAGTGAGCTAACTGATTCTTTAGCAATAAACTGTGGTTTCAAAAATAATATTCACTGACACTGACAGCAGCAAGCAAAATATCAGGTGCGTTTCAATCATCCGCTTCTGCTTCCGGAATTGTCGGTTTAGTCGTTTTAACCTGTCAGATTAAAACAAGAAAACCGACAATTCCGAAGCAGAAGCGGATGATTAAAACGCACCTATTAAAAATATTGCGCCAAGATGTAGGCAACACGTAATAAGGGTTCAAAATGGCGGAGTTTTCTATCTCCTTTTAAAAGGCACTCAGAAAGCTGCGCAGTGCGACCATTGTCCGTATAGTAAAAGAAAATCAAAGTATGTGAGGTGGACACTTCCAACAACTTTTGCAAACTTGTTAAGTATTTCTTGAATAAATAATTAATAAAAAAAATGGCTTATTTTATTTAGTCACTTAAAAACTGTATTATTTTCAGAAAAGAATGCAGGAGCATAAGTTCTTCTCTTAAATTGCAAATTTCCAGTTCCGTAAAAAATGCAATAAAATAATAAAAATAATAATAATGGTAATAAAATTAATAATTGAATAACATAATCAGATTTAGGCGGTAGGGCTATCCACAAAAATGGTTTTTATTTTTTTTTGTGCGAAAACCGTGCATCCAGCGAAAACAGACCAAGAGGCCAATGTGCTATAAAAGAAATAAAGAAATCAAAAATATTTTTTATTACAAGAAAAACCAGTGACGTACCGTTTTCTTTTTAGAAAATATTCATTTCAAAGCCCGCATGAACGCCAATGGCGAATGTAAAAGTTTAAATTGTGTATCGGAAAATGGCTTTGGATGCATAGAAACTGCGAACCAATTTTCAGAAAAATATCTACAGGGGTATTAAATATATCGAAAAAAATAAGTTTTTTTCTTATAACTTTGCCACCCTGTAGTTCAAAATCTAAGAGGCGTAGGACATATGTTCATAGGAACTTTTTTGCTTCATTTCGTTCAAGGGACGCCTCTGAATTTTTTCGCGATATTTAAAAAACACCCTGTATAATAGTGAATGTCAACTAAAATGTCACTACAAATCGTTTAAGAATGAGCTTCATCAGCGATTTGCAAGCGAGAATACACAGTCTTACACCAAAATGGAGAAAAGCAATTTAATAATGATAATATCGATATATATTGGATACGGTTCTTAAGATATTTTTATTATATCTTCTAATTGTACAAATAAATAGAAGAAACTTGAACGTGTTTTCTGTTTGATTATTTTCTCTACTTAAACAATCAAATTCATAAGCTTTTTATAAGATACGGGACTTTTATATTTTGCTTTTCTTAAAGTTCTTTTTATTCCGAATAGCAATATATCATACAATATCAATTAAAAACTTTGTGGTGTTTAAACGGATCATCATTAGAACGTTTTTTTTTTGACTAGACATTCTAATAAAAAAATTATGTTTATTTACTGAGGAGAATATTCTGTAGAAGTATGTATGTACTATGTTTTCGGAAACAATATAAAAAATTTCAGAAATTATTTTTTTGTTATTAGATATTTACCTACAAAACACCATTTCAAATTATTTGTCTTCTATATTGTTAAGGTCGGTAAAATAATTAAACGAAATTGAACATCAAACCCATTCGACTTGATTTTTAGGAAGTATTTTGGTATGGCATTTGTGTTTTTTAACCTACTTAATATGTATAGTACTTTTTCCGCGTTTGTTTTTTTAATACTAAAATACTGGGCAGTTATATTCTTTTATAATACAGTTGAAGTCTTCTTACAATACGATTTTTCATCTTTTTAAGCTAACATATAATTATTTTTTAATAGAGAGTATCGTTTTGTATGGACATAGGGTTGTACTAGCTTCCATCTTAAAAAAGTAAGAATCAAATTTTTATTTGATGATGATAAATAATATTTTGTAAAGAGAAATATAATAAGTGGTACCATTATTATAGACCATTTTTTTTAAATGCCTCGAATGTCAGTCATAACGACGAAAATAAGATGAGTATGAAAAGCACGAGTATTATTTTCCCAAGTTTGGGACTGGCATGAGTTGGAATTAAAAAAAAATATATTGATATTTAAGTATAGCTATGAAATTATATTTAGAAAAATAATATAATAATGATTATCTGTCAGATATTGATTTGTATTGAAAGGTAAGACATTTACAACAGCAATAATATAACACTGTAATTGTATTGTCACTCCTTAATAACAAATCAATCAACCCAAATGGCCTAAACATGTGGTACCTAAATTATATTCTCATTAAAAAATTATGTTTATTATTTTTAAGATATAAAAGTTCATTTAAGATTGATTTTCATAGTTTTTTCTTTATGTAATTTGTAGTTTCTATATATTTTTCTCATAAACATTATTATTATCATCATTATTAATTTCATCAGGTATCATCAAATGAAATAAATATTTGCACAAATTAAAACACTACTGATTCGAAAATTTAAGGTAAAAGCTAGTCAAGACCCTCTATATTATTTTTTCGAAATGTCCACTTGTAATAGACAAAAAATATCTAGCATCTCCATCGCCGTTTGGATCAATATTCTGAATATTACAACGTTTTCTAGTTAAAAATTGTAGATTGATTTTAGTTATTTGGTCTTATCTCTCATGAACACATTACATCAAAGTTCCCGGCAAAAAAATCTAGGTAATTTCCACGGCTAGACCAATGTTGGGATCTGGTATACAATTTCCACAGTAACCTCCGCATTTACCTGAAGCTCTGGTGTCCTACAAAAATAAAACAATGTTACAGAAAATATAGACATACTCAGTATGAAGGTTATTAGATAAGTGCCTAATAATCTTTATAAAAAGACAAATTGAAACATTTCAGGTGGTAGAGAAACGGAACAATAAAATATAGGATTTATTTAATTATACAAATTATTTTTTCTAATTTTGACATATAAAGTACCTTTTTTTGTAATCGCAGCAAGTGTCAAAATGTTGCATAATGTTGAACATGCCTTATTTCGTTAAGTGTTACATGCAATATTTTTTTATAATTTACTATATTATTTATAAAATTGTGTTTTGGTAAAAAGTTACTGACATCTAGGCAACCAATATTACTATTTTCTTGTATTGTTAGTTGCATATAATTAACTTTAGTCTTTTATTGAGAAATAGAAATCATATTCATTTATTCTCAATGACTTATTGTAGAATGTTTATGTTGCTTGTTTAGATTTATAGAAAGTGGGTTATTTTGTCGTGTATTATGTTTTAATTATTTTGTGCTGATTTAGAATGGAAAATAAGCACCAAAACAACATGATTACTAGGGTAAGTTTGACCAAATTCTATTTTTATAAGTCAACCTGCCCTTCTTTGATATGAACTTTCAATAATAATAATATATATTATTGATTTTAAAATTAAAAAATGTTTATTTTTATTTGTTTTCTTTTAGAAACTGGTGACTTAATTAATTTTCGAAACCAGTCTCATAATGTTCAATATAATGCAACTGGTTGAGTAAAGAAGATCAAAATTCTTTATGTCAACAGTTGAGAAAAGAAAAGAAGTAAAAATAAACTTTTTTTTTAAATCAATTACGAGGATGGGATGAAAAGTTTCCGGCCTAACATAGAACCCAACACAATAGTGACTGAATAAGAATTTATTTTTCTACATAGTCCCCTTGTAGGGTAATACATTTGACCCAACGATGTTCAAGCGATTTAATACCGTCACTGTAATTTGATTTATCCAACTCGTCAAAATAGGCGTTTGTGGCTGCAATTACTTCTAAATCCGTGGAAAATTTTTTGCCAACAAGAAATTTTTTTAGGTTTGGAAACAAATAAAAGTCTCGCGGGGTTAGGTCTGGCGAATACGGAGGATGGTTTAACAGTTCAAAGCCTAACTGATGAATTTTAGCCATTACAAGAACGGCAAGGTGCATTGTCCTGATTTTCTTTTTTGCCAAACCAGGGCATTTTTCGCTTATATTCTGCTTAAGCTGGTTCAGTAAGTCGCTGTAGTACTCGGAATTTATTGTTCTTTCCCTTTTCGAGATAATCTATTAGGAGTATCCCTTTAGCATCCCAAAAGACCGTTGCCATGACCTTTCCAGCAGACGGTACTGCCTTTGCCTTCTTTGGAACTGGTTCGTCCTTTGCCGTCCACTGTTTGGACTGTTGTTTAGTTTCAGGGATATAATTATAAACCCATGTTTCATCAACCGTAATAAATCTACGCAAAAAGTCCCCTGGATCACGTCTAAACAGTGCCAAATTCTCCTCTGAAATGGTTATCCTCGTGAGCTTCTGATCTGATGTGAGCAAACGCGGCACCCATCGGGCGGATAGCTTTCTCATACCTAAAACTTCACACAAAATATAGTGAACTCGCTCTTTTGATATGCCCACAGCCTCAGCTACCTCTTCCAATTTTAATCTGCGATCTTTTAGAATTAATTTGTGAACGGTTTGCACCATTTCTTCAGAAGTTGCTGTTTTTGGCCTGCCAGAACGCGGGGCATCATCAGTGCTAGTACGACCACGTTTAAAGTCCGCTACCCAGGTTTTAACTGTGGTAAATGAAGGAGCAGATTCGCCTAGTGTAGCATCTAGTTCAGCTTTTATTTCCGTTGGCGATAATCCTTTGATATGGAAATATTTTATCACCGCTCTTATCTCGTTTTTTTTTCATCTTTTAAAAGTGGCGCACTTTATAAGCTTTTAAAATACCCAGGACACAAACTACTTGACGCACTCACTTTAAACTTCGAACGTGTCCTGACGACAAGCAGGTCTACACAGACACGTTGGAACAGGAAAGCAAATCGAGCCTACTATAGATTAGGCCGGAAAATTTTTATCCCATCCTTCTATATGCATTATTACTGAAAGTTTGTATCAAAAAAGGGAAGGTTGACTGTATAAAAATAGAATTTGGTTAAACTTAAAACCTAGTAATAATGTTGTTTTAGTCCATATTTTCCATTCTAAATCAGCAAAAAATAATTATAACAAGCAATATAAACACACTACAACAAGTCGTTGAGAATAAATTAATATGTCAATAAAATGAATGAAGTTATGCATATACAACTAACAATACAAAAAAGTAATATTGGTTGCATAGATGCCAGTAATATATTACCAAAAAATGTTATTAATAATCTAATCAAAATTAGAAACTAAGTTTTGTATGTAAGACGTTACGAAATGCCGTTTTGGGTAATCATTCATGTTGCGGGACCTCACTCTGCTCGTCCCCCAAATATTCACTCTTTACATAAAATGAGACATTTTGTAACTGGTTGCATAAATAGCTATTAAGTGATTTATAGTGAAAAAGGGCAATGCTGTTCTGTTGCTCTTGCCGGAGTTCATTACTGCCGCGCCAAGACCTTTGTTTTTCAGATGTCATACCACCAAAACAAATAAAATACCATAATTATTCCTGCAATCCACCTCTCCCATTATTGGACATTTTTGCATTACTCATGCGCGAATAAAGCGCAAGACTTTTTCCAAACAACTTAGGACTCTCTTATCCTTACCCTAACTACAACTGTTGGGTTGGTTATTTTCAACAACTGTCATCGAGTATCGGTAGGCGTATTTTTTGCCACGTCTCTATAGTAGGTGAGCCATTGACATTTTTTTATTACTTATTTGCCAAAGACTAAATTATAAATGTATCGTTACTTTTTACCAGAGAAGATGTAATTAATTACTCCGCTGCAGACGCACCAGCGCGAGCGGTGGAGAGCTGGATGATATATTATTTACACAAAAAATTAATAGAAAAAAAATTGCTGCCATTTTGGAGCGGTGGAAAACCAAGTTTGGAAATTGAAATTGTTATATTATGTTGTATTTACGCAATGTTCACTTTTTTGTGTGATCAAAAATCGTTTGCTGGCGTGAAATGACCTGGTAGCAGCAAGAAGATATTGTGAAAGTTTCAAGCTTATGCTTTTATGACAGCATTTTCTAGACAGACTTTTTTAAGACGTCCTCGCCGAGGACTTCATCGCTGCAGGGACTGCAGCAAAGTATTTCCATGTTCTGATAAGAGTAAACGAAATATTGTAAATTTAATTTCAAAAATAACGCCTAAAAGTGCCACTGTCTCCCCTACCAATAATAAAAATTAAATACAAAATGACATTGCGAATGTGTAATTTTAACTCGGTACGAAACAACAAATTGTTATGATTTTAAGAAGAAATCGGATTTACGCATGAGTAATAATGACAAATCAAAACATAAGTACTTACAGATCTTCGAATTTGCGCCGATGCATAGGGTCCCAATTTCTCCCATCTCACGTTGTTGGCCAGCCTAAATGATGTATGTGCTAAATCTACTTCAAATTGGCCCTGTCCACAGTTTTGTACCGAACTGTAGCAATCTCCAGCGCTACCATAAGGCACCTGTGTACCGTTAATCTGTTTGGAAAAGGTATAATCGTCGCCAATTATTTTCATGGATGATATGTCCAGTCTGACTTTCCAGAATTTTGTGAAACCCGATCTTTCAGAACCTACGTGGTCGCATGGGCAGTCGTCTCGTCTTTGGCCACTATACGGACATGTCCTTTCATTTATTAATCTGAAAATGCAGAACGGCGTTATTTTTTGTTTACTAGATACTGAATAATAGTAATTTGTGTTAAAAGGTTGGGAAGTGTTATTTTTACTGGTAGTTTTCGTACAATTGGCAATTAGCAATATTACAACTTTTAGAAAAATTCATTTAAACTTTAAAAAATATAGGAGAAAATTATAGATTTTTGTATTTCAAGTGTGCAGAGGAGAATTGTATTCATGCACAAATGTATTAATGGACTTTAAACTAATGAAATAATAAATCTAGCAGATGATACCAATGAGGGGAGTCATGAGAATGATTATATCACAGTAACAAGACGGCAAAGGAGAAAAAACAAAACAATAATGGAGGTGGAGAAGGTGATGATGAATTTAAAGGAATGGAAAAATTAAACAAAACAATTTGGCTCTTTGTATCTAAAGTATGAGACACTGTAAATGAAGAGAATGTTAAGAAATACAAGACATTTATGTGAAGAAACTAGACACATATTTTGTAAGACAGAATAATCAAGCTTTTCTAGTGGGAATAGATCCTCATTTTCAGGAGCAAGTATATAAATCAGATTTTTGGCCTAAAAATATAATTTATTCCCGATTCAACTTTAAACAAGGTCAGCAATTTCTTGAAGATTCACAAAACCAGAGATCGCATAAGAGTGAAGAAAATTTTTCAAACCTAGCTTCTACTTCAAACCTGATAAAATAGGGACCTCAAGGACTACTATGGAAAACCACTTTTTGAAAGAAAATAATGAATTACTATTTTGCAGTTCCCAACAGTTAAATATTACTTAAATGCATATCAATATACAGGGAGGTTTTGCCAATAAATGCTTTGATCTAAATTTAATTTTACAGAAACAAAATGTAAGTATTCTATGTGTTACTGAACATTGGCTTGATTCTAACAATTTACAAGCTACCTCAATTGACGATTTTAAGCTAGTATCATATTGTTCACGGACAAATAAAGAAAAAGGTAGTATATTTATAAAACAAGTATTGCTGCAAATTTTGAATCAATTAATTTACATAGGTGGTGTATAGAAGGTGAATTTGAAGTATGTGGTGGAAAAATAAAAATCGATTCTAAACTTTTTTATTTATTATTACTGAGTATAAGCCAGCTTGTACTAAGTTTAGCACTTTTATAAATCAGCTAGAGCTATTAATTCATAATATTTATCAAACCGACAATAACTTTCATACCTAAATATTTTATCAGTTGAAAATTGGCGTGAAGTATACACATCTACTAATTTTAATGATAAATTTTCTATCTTTTATTAATCATTCCTATACCACTACAATATTGTATTTACGAAAACAAAGAAAGCGATAAAACCACAAAAATTAAAAAATCAGTTTCCACCTCATATTAAAGAGTTACATAATCTATTATGTGAAATGAACAGGTTAAAGAAAGAAATAAATTCTACATATTATACAGAACGTTATAATAATTTAAAAAAAGAGTATCAAAAAATAACAAAACAATATTTGAGAAGAAAAAATAATGATCGTATTTTAAAAAGTAATAACGTAATGAAAGAATCCTGGAATATAATAAACGAGAGTAGGGGAAAAAGAAAAAACAACTTATTGAATCCTATTAAACTTACAAATGATGACTATTTTATTAATGTAAATAAAAATAATATTGTACCTAACTATACTATGAGTAACATCATAAAAGTTTTTTTCTTTTTCCAATAACTCCTAGTGAAATCATCACTATAATCAAAAAAACTACTTCTAAACCCACTGAAGGTATTGACGAAATAAATGGTAAAATTCTGTTATCGGTTGCTCATCATTATATTGCTGAACCCATATCACATTTGATTAATGAATCCTCTGTTTCGGGAATATTCCTAAATATGAAAGAATCTAAAGGAATTCCTGTTTATAAAAATAAGGGATCTGCATCTAATATAGAAAATTATCGTTTAATCTGTATATCTAGTCTAATAACTAAAATATTTGAGTCAGCATACTCGATTAGACTCACTAATTACCTTGAAAGTTTTAATATGTTGCCAGATACTCAAAATGGATTTAGAAAAAATAAATCAACATCTACTGCAATTGCAGCTTGCCTAAAGTTTATATATCAAGCACTCAATGATAAAAAACGTATTTTGGGACTCTTCTATGACCTTAGCCGTGCATTTGATATGGTGGATCATAATCTTTTATTATTGAAGATGAATGGGTTAGGAATACGAGGGAAACCTTATGAATGGATACAGTCTTACTTAATAAATTGAACTCAAGTAATTGTAACAAATAGTCTAAAATCTGATGTACATTAAGAGTTCCCAAGATTCAATTTTGGGCCCACTTCTTTTTATAGTTTTTATAAATGATTTAAGTAATTTTTATTTAAGCTCTCAACAAATAGTTCAATATGCCGATGATACCAATATTGTAATGGCAGATGATCAAATTGAACAGGTCACTCAAAGTAGCAACGAAGCATCTCGTGAGTTTAACCAGTATTGTAAAGATAACAGTCTGGCATTAAATGTAAAAGAAAACAAACTTCATGCAATTTCTACCCAAAAACATATTACCAGATTACGAACCCTACTTGCACGTTGACGGAAAAACTATTCAAAGCGTTGATGACATAAAATTATTAGGAATAATATTAGATCCCAAATTAAATTGGGAAGCTCATATAAAAATGGTAATTTCAAAATTAAGTACTTGTTGTTATATCATCAAAAATTTAAGGGATACACTATCTTTTGATACTTTAAAACTATGCTATTTTGGTTTGGTTCATTCAACTCTACAATATGGGTTAATATTTTGGGGTTCTTCACCATACTTTGAAAGAGCTTTTTGTATCTCAACAGAAGGTTCTGAGAGCCATGTATAAGGTGACACCAACAACATCATGTAAAGAACTTTTCAAGAAAACGCAAATTTTAACACTACCTTCCCTTTTTATTTTTGAACTAATTATATACATAAAAGATAATGAGCATATATTTAAGAAAAATAAAGACCTGCACTCATATGATACTAGATTAAAATTTAACATCCATCAACCTTTTTCACGACTAAAAATAAGCCAGCATTCACCAAAATATATTGGGATTAAGTTCAGTAACATATTAGAAGATACTACAGGTTATCATCAAATTAGTCTTAATGATTTAAGAAAACATCTTAATGATTTTCTTGTAAATAATGTATTTTATTGTATAGAAGATTTTTTGAACTAATCTTAACATGAATTGTCTATTATATATTTTATTTTTTAATGTATTTTACTTAACACTTTTTTGACTAGTCTGATAGGATTTTACATTATGTACCTAGTGTCTTTGTATGGTCTATAATTCTCAAAGATGAATAAATTCTATTTCTATTAACAACGCATCTTATTTATGTCGAAACAATTATTTTAACAAGAAAACATTGATTTATCCTTTTAAGCATTCAGAAAAAATTTGGATTGAAAAACCATTTTTGGTCAAATTTACACTCCATTTACACCCCCATTCATGACTGATGTTCCGTCATAACTTTGTGCGATTAACTTATTCGGTGTGTCACTAATTAAAGGATCAATTTCATTTAAAATTCAATTTGCTACTGAACTGGCATTGTGCCCAGGAGAATTAAAAAATTTCCAAAATCTTTCTACTGGCTTTTTGGAGGAAATGTATCGAAGAATAATGACTAATTGAAATTCGTTAGCGACATCGGTTCCACTAAATTTGATAAAAATAAGTCAAGTGCTTTCGGTGGTCAAAGCCATCATCAGGACATCGCCAAAGAACATAAGAAACAAACAAGTGAATCCAGAGGTGTGTTAATTCATAACTTCATAGCCTTCTAACAAAAAAATGAAAATCTTAGCCACGAGTATGAGCCATGTACGCTTGAGGGCAGCGGAGCATCGGTTAACATAGAGTTTTCGAATCTAGCTCCTTAACCAGAAAAAATTGTTAAGTGCATGTAATAGCACGAGTATTTCTCTTAAAAACACCTAAATGGAAAACACAATAAACGAATAATCTTCTCTGGTTATGTAAACATGATTTGTACCGGTGCTCTAACTGACCTACTTTCTCCCTTGAAAAAGTCTAAAGAGAAAACAACTTCGATCTTTGGCCGCATCGATTTGTAATATGCAAAATTATTTACCTTCTGCCGTAAATTTCAGCAAAATTCATAGTATCTGGATGCAAACTGATATACTCTAGTGGCTCAGGTGTATCCATTTTGTAGCAGTGAATCTGTACAGGTCTACTATGTAACGATATAACATAGTCTCTGTTCTCTTTGGTGCCTGTGTAATGTTTGATTTCTTTGCAGCTTCTGTAGAGACATTTCCATTGGTTGCATTTACGTTTTCTCGGCGGTTTAAGGTTTCTGCGACAGTGGAATCGCGGAACTTTTTGTTTCGACCATGCGTTGACACAATGGATAACGCGGATTTGGCGTCCCTTTCTGCCGCATTGATGTGAACACTAAAAAAAAAGTATAATCATAAGTTAAAGAAACCGCAGTATTTATGAATCAATTCGCTTCATCTATTTGTTTGAAAATAGTTAATCTTAGTTATAGTTTTTTAATTTACCTGTTTCCAAGGTTCTGGTTGCCAAATATATTGATCGCCACAATGCGACAAAATACATTTTGCAGTTGTTGGAGGTTTGTTTTTAAGAGAGCAGTAATTTTGATGGTAGTGGTCCGGTAAAGCTACCGGATCGATGACACCTCCTTTATAAACCCTATGACAGGTAACGTTCCTTTTCTTAACACCGGTACCACAAGTAGCTGAACACTAAAAATTGACAGCAAAATATTATTTGGTAAACAACAAAATTTACTTATTAAAGTTCGTGTTATTTTTACAAATATATAATTTTATATAATAATAGATATCTTACATCTAATCTAATTCACCTTTATTGGGGGCAACTAAACATGCACAGTCTACTAAAAACAGGGTTTACAATAAAACAAAAGCATCTTCAATATTAAAAAAAATATATGTAATATCTATTTTTAATATTGAAAATCACAGAGTTAGTACAGCCTCGTATTTAGTGCGAGTTTTTGTGTTTTAAGTGGTAGACATTTTTTATAATGATTGGAATCCTTCTGTCACCATTGGTAGTACTTAGAATCCATCCACCGATCCAAAAATATTATGTGTAAAAATATATTGGTTTTACAGTTCCCTTGTTAAAATTAAACTTCAATCGATATTAAGTAATTTGAAGAACAAGTTTTTATTAAGTATTAATATTCGAAATGTCCTATTCCTGCATAATTTCAAAAAAATAGATTATTTGTCAAAAATAGTAGGTACTTGTGATAATTTATTAATGAAATTTGCTTGTGTTGGAGTGAATAGTAAATGACGTTCGTTTGTGCAGGACAGGAAACATGTGGTATAGACGTTGCCAGTTTTAGATCGGTAACCAATCCAACCTGTGACTGGCAACGTTAATACTGAGTCGTTTCTTTTCCTTCATCAAGTGCGAGCTTCAATCACTCCAAAACAAGCAAAGCCGGACCGAATGTTTGATCTTACTAACACTGTATATAGGGTATTACAAAAACGTTGGTCAATTTATAACATATATTTAAAGCTGCGTCTTTTTTTTTGCTTGGGGACAGTAGGTAATGATGGCGTTGAGAACAATATTTTAACACTTTCGCGAGTACGTCAAAGCACATATGATACCTATGGGAAAATGAATTAGACAGATGCTAGTCGGATAGAAAATATTTGCATGAGAACAAAAAAATAAAACGATTTTAAGCATGTGAGGCCAAAACTTTTTTGAATTGGAATAAGTAAATCTTTCATTTTGTTCTTCAAACTCTTTCATATTTGGATGAAGTTAATTTTCCAAATAACGAACTGTATAGCAAAAATTAAAAAAAAACTTACAGCCGACCAATACCCTTCTATCCAGGCTAACTTGCAGCTATACCGCTCGCACGGCCTTGTAATTCTCGGCTTTTTCAGGTGTTTACAAAACGCATCGACCACGGTAAGTTCATTGAGCGCGTCTTCGCATTCAATGTGACGTCGCCTGGTGCCTTTGCCGCAAAAGTTGGAACACTTCGTTAGGTGAAACAAAAACGTGTATGTAAGGAATGTGACAGTTGCTTGGTGGTTAGTAATTCGAAAGCACAGGTATATACAATAAATACATGAAAGGAAAAGGTTGTGGTAAAAGTCTTATTTGAACGACTGCATTGTCTCAAAGTATCAATAGATCCATAATTCGTATTTTACTGTGTCTCTGCAACCATTCTTTTATTAATTTCAAAGTTTGATATTAATAATTCATACCAAGTAAAAATAAGTCATTACAAACTATTAAAAAATATTTTTGTAATAATTGTACCATAAAAGTAAATATTGTGAAAGCCAAATTAATTCAGGCAAATGTTTGTTTTTAATAAGTCAAACATGATAATATGCTGCTATAAAAGCTATTAGTCTAAGAGTCAATAAAATTTCATAAAAAATATGTCTGATCTGGTTATCAGATGGGCGAAGGTCGACCTCCCATGGTCTCCTCTACTATATAGATCTCTATGAAATTGGAAACTGTTTTTGTTCTCTAAATTATAATTTAATTTCAGGGTACAAAGGTGAAATAAATATTTTCTTTTAAATTTATTCTAATTAGCGCATTTCAAAACAGTGCGACACGGTGTATTGAAATATACGCGGTGTACTGAAATATAAAAAATACTGGTGTGATATTTTTTCGAATTTTTTTTTTTTTGAATTTTAAAATTGCTCCAACCTAATTTTTGTACAATTTAAGTAGTAGAGAGTAATCAAATTTTGAAAGAAAATGTTGAAAGTTTTCCTAAAACAGATTCATAATGTTGATTACCTCTGTTTAAAATTTGTACCTTATACTTAAGTTATAGGGCCATATTCACCGTACATGAATAAACTTCGCTTAAGTTTTAATTGAGCTTAATTTACATATTTTATATGCACCGAAGTGATCATGGTATTTAAGCGCACTTAAAGTTAATTCTCCAATTTTTGGGGACATTTTTTGAAGATTAAAAGCGTTACTTTGATTTGTTGGTTTTATTTTAGAGATGAAAGTTTAGAAATTGTATGTATTGTTAAATATGGAGCTGGAAGATGAAATTGATATCTTCAATATCATATAATTTTTTCGTGTAACTTTGTGAGACTAAATTGAAAGATATTAATGATTTGTGTTTTTTCCTAGATTTAGGTTACATAAACAAAATCCTTATTAAAGAAAAAATATTCCTATCCCTCATTATTTTATCTTCTATTATTAAAGCGTGCTTATTTGCAAAAATATACATGCAGCTAAAATTAGGTAACCGGACTTTTTGTCCATTATTGATAAATGTTAATTTAAGAAACACCTTACAGATCTAGAAAGTACCGCAAAAATTGAAAACACGGAAAAAACCTTAGGCTTACAATTTTTCTGAAGTCAAATTTCGCATTGATTTAATAAAGCTTCACTTAATAATGTGGTGCATATCATCAACATTTAATTGAAGTTATATATTAGAGGGTAGCTTAATTAAGCGCTGCTTAAGCAATTAACGGCGAATATGGTTGGTAATTTGCATCTTGGATCAAGATCTGCATATTAGGGTGTATCATTTTTGAGCAACTTTTTTTTTTTTTTTCAACTAAAAAACAGGATAAAAACTATCAGGAAGGTGAAAAAAGAAGCCTCTAAAAATTTGAGCTCTTAATAATAACATTTAGTGGTGCCTGTTCCTAACTTTCCATTTTCCATTTAACTAACATGGAATTTTTTTTTCTTTTACGTTTGTAGTTTAACATTTAAGCATTGTAAAAATGAAAAATAATATAGTCCAGGTAAAATTATAAAAAATAAAGATTAAAAATTCAACACAATAACAAATTAATCGTTTTATTTAATCTATAATTGAACAAATTTATTGATAAGATGTAAGTGTTATTTTCTTTCTATACGAAAATAATTATTTTTTCTTTGAAAATAATTTTTAAGACAAAAAAAAAGTCATCAGTATTAGTTTAATAAAATAAAAGTCGTAATTTCATACATTTGTAAGTTTGAATATCTTCAGAACTTTTTTCCTACCAAAATAATTTTTCAGCTCATTTTTACAATACTAAAATGTCAAGTTACAAAAATAAGAAAAAATAAAAAATTTTTCTCCATATTATTTAAATGGAAAATGGAAAGTTAGGAGCAGGCACCACTTAATGTTAATATTAAGAGCTCAAATTTTTAGAGGCCTCTTTTTTCACCTTCCTGAAAGCCTGTTTTTTAGTTGAAACAAAAAGTTGCTCAAAAATGACACACCCTACTGTATATACAGGGGGGCTACACGGAAACGAAACAGAGCCACTATGAGGAACTGCGTCAATATTTTAGGCAAACATTGGGTCCCTTCAATTTTTAACTGACACCTATTATTATAGAGCTGAATTAAAGAATGTCATTTTTGAATGAAGAACGGCTGTCGTGAGAATTTTAAGGAACAACCGAATAAACCATTCAAATTTCGAATTTAATTTCAAAGTACTATTCAAATCTACAAAATATACATCCAAACCCTTTAAAAATAAATAGGTGGTGGGATTCCGTTCTATGTCTCTAACTTGATCTCGATAAGAAATTCGTCTGAATTATGAGAAGCGATTCTATAACTCGATCTGTTTAAACTTTGGAAATTCGACAAATTAAACATTTTACTATGACTTTTCGAACTCCTTAAAAATCGGTTTAGAAAACTTTTTCAACTGAATAAAGAGTATAATTTATATTTATACAAGGTGTTTCCGGACTTGGCGTCCAAATTTGTAGGGGTGGTAGTTCGCACAATTTGAGAGGGATTGGCAGATTTCATTTTTCTAAAAAAATTATAATAAACAAAATAGAGCCATTATAAAAAAAATCAAAGAGCAGGTCCTACCCTGAGCGCGTAGCGCAATAGTCCTCAAAAACAGATGCGATTTGCAATTTTGTCGGTTCTAAGCGCGCGCGAGTCGAGGCGATCCTATCGCTGTGCAGGACCGTACCTGTTTATAATTTTTAATTATATTTATTTAAAATATTTTGGAAAAATGAAATCTGCGAATCGGTCTCAAATTATGCGAACTTCCACCCCTACAAATTTGGACGCCAAGTTCGATAGTGGTAAAGTCTTGGATTTTTTATTCCTCCTTTATGGAATAAAATAGTAGAAATCTCAAAGCCAGTGTCATATAAATACGAGCGACCCTTTCCCTCAGGAAAACAACTACCCCTTTGGCTAATACCGCATTCAATTAAATGCAAAGGAAAACAGCAGATATAGAAAATAATCTTCACTACTTTACCTTTGATTTTTCTTACCAAGTTGAACGTCAATTTTGTATCGGCTTTGAGTTTTACTTCTATTTTATTTTACGTCTTGGTCACATTTAAGTTGTAACTACTTCATTATTTACTTAGTTTTACTTATCTTTTTTAGATGTGCTAGGAATCTTATAGAAAGCTAAATTATTTTCTGCCATAAGATGTCAGGATAATATATCTACCTAATGTTAAAAACTTTAAAATTTACGATTTGATATCTAATCGACTACTTTAGCTGTGTTTAGTTAACAATCAAGTCCATTGTCAAATTTGGTTGAACGTAATTGCTATTATTATCGAGTTTGACATCAAATTCGAATCAAATTGTGAAACGGAATTCCACCCAGGAATTTTTAATTTTAATTAGTACTTACCGGTTTCCAAGGTCCAAGTTTCCATCGATATCTTTTGTCACCTTTTTCGGAAGAATCGAAATATCCCCTTGGGATGGTGTTTGTCATGTAAGGGCATTCGGTGAGTTTGCATTTAGTCGAATTTTCTGGTTTCTTCGAATTTTCACATTGGATGTCAGCCACAATTTTTCCTAAAAAACAAAAACCGGTCCTTATAATAGAAAATCCTGTTCAAAATTATCGCATCATTCAATTTCTCTGCTCCCATGAGAAATATGTAAAACATAGGTGGATGAAAATTGGACCATCAATGATGAAAATAATATATTTGTAAAGAAATAACGGTTGACATATACACTAGAAGTTCTTTATTGTCTAGATATGGCCATCGTGTCCACTGTTATTGCACAAACTATTCTACACCTGTAAATGTCTTCGTCTTAATTCGCACTCAAATTCTCATTTTGTTGAACATTGCAAATCAACCCCCTACTTTGGTAGGTCAAAAAAGGTCAAATTGTGCATTTGAACTTTTTTTCGATAGCACTTACCACAACGGCGCTATTTCACGAAAAGCGTCGCGACGCAGACTTTTCATCCCTCCACCCCTCGAGCGGCAACCCCCCAGAGGTCGCAAACTTAAGTGTAGTATCAGGGGACCCATGTGTACCATCCCAGCAAATTTCATTTCTTTCCGACCTTTTGCGAATAGAAACCACCCACCGCTTGGACTAAGGGGGATTTTGTAGGGTGAAAAATTAAAAGCTGCTTACAATAATTTAGACCTGGTCATACACGAAGTGAATTTTTTAAATCGATACATCTTAAAAACGGCTACTTAAATCAACTCTTATCACATATACCTTTTTAGATAAAAGACTTTGAAGAACAAGAATTTTTATTTAAAAGTTAAATACAGAGCGGCTCAAAAAAGTTATTTTTTTTTAAATGTGTACAAGGTACCGCAGGTGGCACTCTTTAAGCTTTACAATAAAAATGCGAACAGCTTTTAATTTTTCACCCCACAAAACCCCCTCTAGCCAAATATTGTGAAAATACATCAATTATTAAAAAAAAAAAATTATGAAAAACTAAAACCAAATTGAACTTTTAACACTCGAAATCATCTACTTTCGGACTGAGGTAAGTTGGGTTAGATCGTTATATTTAAGCCTGAGGAATATGTGGTAGCATTTTTTCTGCACTATTAATGTCACTACTTAATAGTATCGATGTTATATATTTTTTTTGAAACTTGATTAATTTGTCGTAATATATTTCCAAACATACCTGAACTATCTGTACACCTAACTTGCCGATATCTTTCGCAATTCGATTCGCAGCTTCGACTCCAGTCCCCTGTCTTCCATTTGGGACAAGCGAATTGATTACAACTTATGATGTTATTGGGCTTTTTGTTTGGATCGCACATCATGCTGTTCTCGTCGCCATTGTCGTCTATGCATTTAAAATATTGCTTGCTTTTTCCTCCGCCGCAAGATTGTGAACACTAAAAAAGAAAAAGCCATATATAATTGTACTTATTTCCTTCCTTCTTTAGACGAGAAGTAAGAAAATTGGAAGATCAAAATTCTAATAATAGAGTTTTGGAATGTGTTTGGACAATCAATACTTAAATACTGCTGCAACCAAAGAAAGAATTAGTTTGAAATACACGTACATATTAAAACTGGTTAATATTTGTAGTTTTCTCGAAAGTAAAAAATAGTTATTTTTGTATTGTTTTTTAATGGCGCACGAAATTGTCAACTTTTCAAATTCATTCGAATGCATCGTAAAACACTGATTTAGCCACGAAATACAAACAATATTTTTTTTGAAGTGACATTTTTTGTAATCGGAGCAAGTGTTAAAATGATCTACTTTACGGCCCCAACCAGTTGCATACTGTTAAACATTATGAAACTGATTACCTAATATTCATTGTTACCAGTTGAGAAAAGAAAAATAATGCTTTTTCGGTTTTAGAATCAATATATACATTGTCATTGAGTTTTTATCAAAGAAGGGAAGGTTGTCTATATACAAATATATAATTTGGTTAAACTTACAATTTTGTAATAATGTTGTTTTAGTCCTAATTTTCCATTATAAATCAGCACAAAATAATTAAAACAATACACGACAAAATAAAAAAAATTCTTGAAAACTAAATAACTTTAACACGCAATATAAACACACTACAAGCCATTGAGAATAAATTAATATGATGCAACTAATAATAGAAGTAAAATTGGTTGCCTATATGTTCGTAATTTTTTACCAAAGCACAATAATTTTATAAATTCAAAATTAGAGAAAATGTTGTACGTAACACGTTAAGAAATGCCATTTTATGTAACCCGTTCATGTTGCGGAACCTCGCTCTGCTCGTCCCATAAATATTCACTCGTTACATAAAATAGGGCATTTTATAACTGGCTGCATAAATGGCTTAAAATATCATAAAATACTTGTTAAAGTAAATAAAATAAAACAGCTATATTGAGGTAGGTTAGTTCATAGGTCACTAAGCCAAGTTTAGTTCAATGCCAACAGTCGCCTATTGGGTCTGCTATTGACAATGTTACCAAAGCGTTTTGATTTTGGTAGACAGTTATTGTGTCAACATTTTTATTTTTGATTATTTTTAAGATCATTAACAAAGGCAGACTGTGAGGAATATTCCTAATATTTTAATTTTAGAATTTCACGGAATAGTTATTTGTCCATAAAGTTGATCTTTTTTGGCAGAATCAGAAATTTTAAGCCGAGGAGTAGCCGAGGCCAAGCAACTTCTGGTTAGGCCAAAAAATGTTATACAGCTGAGGTGCACACAACATTTTTGAGGCGACTGTTTCATTAAGCAGATTTAATATTTCTTTTACATTAATAGAGAAATATAAATTTACTGTAACGTCAGACACAAATAGTGAGAATTTAATTAGTGGCAAATAAATTTCATGCTAAAATAAGACTTATTGCAAACCTGAAATTTTGACAATGAGTCCTTGTCCTAAAACATATTTCTAACCTCGTTTTAAACTAAGGTTCATCTTTTTTATTGTCTATAATAGTACATAATATGGAAGAGGCATTAGAAATTATTATCTTAGAAGGTTTAGATGACGATGATAATAAATATTTAATATTAAAAAACTTCGAACTGATACGAATGTTGGCGAGCGCACCCGAAAGCTATAAAGTCTCCACTAACTGCTGCCTTTAAACATCCACAATTAAGGACAGGCACAATCTTTAATAAAGTCAGTTCTAGAACCTAAACGATCTGCGCATGCTCAGATGTCAAAATAAGAGCGGCGCTAATAGTGACTGATCTTAAGTGAACTTGCAATAACTCTCTCTTATTTCTTAAATGCAAGAATTGTATCAAATTTTTATTAATAGAATAAAAAACCCATCGTTAACTAATAAAATTTGTATAGAATTACTAACGATAAGTATGATAAACTTGTGTTTTTATAAAAAGGGGCCGTAAAGTAAATGCGGCTAAAAAAGTGGTACTCAAGGGATGTTAATAAATCCGTAAAATGTCAGTTTTTGTGATAGTCGTCTAAAAAATTATTGTAGTTTTTTCACATGATACCCATTTTAATATGTACATACGTTACCTATTTATGATCTAAAATCGTTTAACTTACCGTAGACCAATCTCCTGCAGCCCATTTATATGTTCTAAGTCTGACTAATGGTTCTGTTATTACGGAGTTATCGAATTCGTCTCTTAGTGAGTGCCTTCTGTGGGCGAAGGTACTCAAAAACTAAAAATTTAAAAATATTAAATTTCGAATGGACTACAATGCATCGGAATGTTTAATCCTATTTACATACAAAATAGATGACTTATTTGACTTTAACTCAGCGATGTAGCATGTATGGGTAATTTTATTGCTATTCATATTCATCAATCTTTCAATAAAGCTTAGCGGTATGAGAAAATAAAGCTGCTACATAAGGAACAAGAATTTTTACTTACGTCACATTTCGCTTTATAACAAGGCCTCGTCTCCGTCGGTATTTTCAAGTCCCTACAAAAAATGTCATCCAAAACTGTATCCGAATCAAATTTCTTGCAAACGAATATCCGCCGTTCTATTCCCTCTCCGCAAGTTACCGAACAAGAATGGTAATTATTGAGAGGCGCCCATCTACCACAAGCTTGTTCATTACATTTTTCTCTATCCGAAGGTTTGGTGAGCGGATCGCACGCGTAATCTTCGTGAATTCTACCATCCAGTACACAGTAATAGGTTAGATTTCTGTAACCACCACCGCAAGACCTCGAACACTGAAAAATAAATAATATAATCAGATTCACCGAGAGCTCAAAAAAAAACTTATAAGCAATATATGAGGGAACCTTGCTTACTGCTGGTCTACAGCGAATAGGATATGTGATTGCAGATATTTTAAAGTGTTTCTTTTTAACACCTCTCACATTATTTTTCTTAAAAACCCTAACAAGTTAATGTTTTGAATATTTGCTATTGGTAAATTTTCTCTCGCTAGTTTAACGGATTTTATTTAATTGACAATGTAACTAATTAAAATAATCTTTGTAGAAGATATATTCCTAAAAATCGCCTTTGTTTTTGGTAGATAATTTAACCACACACTATTGCCATTTCATAAACCACTAGATATTTGAGAAAAATTGTTTAGGTCGATTTCCACTTTATTATTATCAAAATTATCAAAAAATTCTATAAAGTTTTTTTTTACTATAAACTGATCTTACGTTTGTATAGATACATTTTAAATCCAACTTTTCGTGACTGAAGAGCCAGTACCAAGATTGTTTTTTTAAGTACGGAACTGTGTTGAAAAGTATTTCTAATACAACCATCTAATTTATAATATTAATATATTTTTAGACTTTTCGTGTCTAGAGACAGTCATCTTACCAGATCATCAAGGTCCTGCAGGTTATCAACTTATCAAAAACCTGCTGGTTGTCGCTGGGGGGGGGGGGGGGGTTACTCCACATGCCATATTTATGGAAGTGGCCATGTGTTGGGTTTCTACCTCCCTGATAGTATATGCCTAGGTGAAAAATTCATTCTGTCCGCCCGCTCCACAGGTGCTATCACCATAATTCACGTCGTCTATGGTTAAACGCTATAAGCTAAGTCACATGGAACGTCCCACCTGGCACCCATCCACGTCGTGGGCGGATGCCTAGGGCTTAACTATTGCGAGAAGTGGAAGTACCCTAATCGTGCCGTTAGCCTCTCCGGCAAAAAGTAGGTACTTGTTCTAACAGAACTGTCAGCATTGAAATTATCATCCAGACAACGAATCAATAACTTTGCGATCATTTTTGTATTTTCCAGCAAAAGTGATTTAAAGAGGTATTAAACAATAGTAAAAATAAAAATTTCGTACGACAAAAAAAAATACCCACAATTTTCCTGATGATAATTTTATAGTATCGAAATTCTAAAAATTTAATGTAAAATATATGGTAGTATTATGATTTAGGAGTGCTCAAAAAATAAAACAACATATTTGAAAACAATTTTGATGGTGGCTCTTTAGACATGAAACATTGCATTGAAAATTTACCTACAGGAACTAGGTATTATTTATAGCAAAATAAAAAACTTTTATACAATTTTAAATAGAAAAACGACCAATTAATTTTTCCTCAAATATCTTGGAAACCGGACCTGTGATATATCAAATTTTAAAATATCAGTAAGTTGATCTCTTAATTTTGAAACTTTTACTCCCATTTAAGTGATCTTGTATTCTCAGTGGTTCACAAAATCACGATAGGGTGCATTTGAAGTGTCTACACCCTGTATAGGCATACTTTTTATTTATGATAAAATACTTTTTACCTAAATGGAAAATTATTGTAGATGTAGACCATCATAAACAAAAACTTAATAAAAGAAAGAATTCAGGAATAAAGTCCAGATACTATATTAGACTTTCAACATTTACTCAAGTTAACAATTATGTCTTTGGATGTAAAACGGGCCGCTCGTCTAATGGTTATGACTTTGGGAGGGCGCAGGTCCGAGCCCTACTCGGAGCGAATTTTTTTCTTCTCAATTTTTGCTTTTATTCGTTATCACCCTTTGGATTCTAGATTTTTTCCTGGATTCTTTCACTTGTCTTAACTCCACGTGTTTTATTTTATTATTTAATGTGATTTCAAAATAATTTTAAATAAAATTTGATTGAAATTGGGGGAATTTCTAATAAGGAGGATAATTCTGTGGTCGGCTCTTAAAAGGGCTTAAGTACAAATCACGAAACCAAAAGCCCGGTAGTTATTAGATATATTACATTAACTAAAGGGAGATAGAAACAAGTTGAATAAATTTAAGCGGACAAGAAATCAAGATGATTGGAATGCGTATAAGCGAGTAAGAAACGTTGTTACAATAACTATAAGAAATGACAAGTGTGCAATATATTTCAGAAAACATTGACAACGACATTTGATCCGCTTGACCACGGTATTTTGATAAAAAAAACTAGCCTCTTTTGGACTTTCAAACAATCTTATTCGTCTTCTTATATCATATCTCACCAACAGAACACAATACGTTCAATTAAATGGATTTAAGTCTGATCAGTATTCTGCCACCTCCGGTGTTCCTCAGGGATAAAATCTAGGCCCGTTGCTGTTTAACATTTTCGTGGATGGAAGAACGTCGCGGATTGTGAAATGCTATCTGAAAATCTTCTGAGAGTTATCGAATGGTGTCGGGAAAATAACCTAAATTTGAATCCCTCGAAGTGTAATGTCATGTCTTAATCACTAAGCTCTGATCCAATTGCTTACAATTACCGTATAGTCAACACTCTATTATGCAAATTGAATAACTTTGTGGATTTGGGCGTTACTTTTGATTCAGCACTACCCTTCAATGATCACATTGACGGTATATTAACTGCAGCAAGCCGCATGTACGGATTCACAATTCGAAAGTGTCGGGATTTTAAGAATGCAAGTACATTAAAGTATCTTTATTATGAGTTTATCCGCTCAAAGCTTGAATATGCTTCGGTTATATGGAGTCCCAGTTACCAGGTACACGTTACCAGGTTAGAGGCTCTTCAAAGACGGTTTCTTAAATATTTAAGTTTCCGAGAAGACCAACAGCCGTATGCATAGTCGATCGCCAGCGACTCGCCAGAGGTTCATTTCGGCGCATCGCTAGCAATCCGCCGGCGAAAGCCCAAAAAGGTGGCGACTCGCTGGAGATTGTCACCGGCATGTCATTTCACGCAAGTTTTCAAGTTCTTTTTAAGGGAAAAATTTGATATTCGTTCATTGTTTTTTTGAGTTTTAAAAAATGAATCAATAATAAAATGCGAGAGATGCCGGTGATAATCATCCCTATAAAAGAACATGAAAACTTGCGAGAAATGACATGCCGGTGACAATCGCCAGCGGGTCGCCACCTTTTCGGGCTTTCGCCAGCGATTCGCTGGCGATCCGCCGGAATGAATCTCCGGCGAATCGCTGGCGATCGACTATGCATACGGGTGTATGTGTATCCTCCAATTGGCACCCCACATAACGAACTGTTAGTAAGACATAGTTTTTCGAGTCTTGAAGCAAGGCGCAAGTATTTTTCAGTGGTTACATTGCACAAAGGCATAACTAACAAAATAAATTGTAAAGACCTGCTGCATGTGTTAAATTTTAGGATTCCCGCCTAACTTCTAGGTGCAATGATACTTTTTACTTGACCACTCCTCCCACCAACATTTTAAGCAAACCTCCATTATATGTCACGTGTAGTAATTGCAACAGCATTACTCTAAGTTGGATATATTTAACATTAGAATTTTAGACATAAAACATTTGTTTATCGTTTTAAATAGTCTGTTTTTCTTTCTTAAATCTTTATTCTTTTGTTTTGTAATTTTTTACATTGTATTTTTCTGAGATATTTGTCATATTTTGCATGTTCTCTAATTGGGAATTTCCTGTAGAACAGTTTGTAAAATAAATAAATATCTAGAGCAACTAACGAGAATTGGTAATAGTAGGGATACATGGCGAGCTTTATAACAGCTAAATGTGTATTCTAGTAAAAATGATGTAGATATTCCAGATTTGATAAATACTTATTTTGTAAATTCAGTTTTAGATTTGGCATTTGAAATAGATCCTGAATTACTCGTAGTTAATTATTACAATACACATAAAGTTTTAAATAATCCAGATTTCAAATTACAAGCTGCTTTAGAAAATGATGTTTTAAATGCAATAGGAAGTATTAAATATAATTCTGCAGGTTGAGATGGTATAACTTTAGACATGATAAAACTTTTTTGTACGCATATTCTGCCTCATTTAACACGCATTTCCAACTGTTGTATGACTGAAGGTTATTTTCCTATTAATTGGAGAGTGGCATTTATAGTTTCTTTGCATAAAATAACAAATCCAAAAGAAATTAACCAGTTAAGGCCTGTCAGTATTATCCAAAATGTTGGAAAAATTCATTTATTCACAGATGATACAATACTGATTAGATAACAATTTATTTGCCAAAAATCAATCTGGGTTTAGATCATCACATAGTAAGGGAACTGCACTAACTAAAATGCTTGAGGACATAATACAATGAATAAGGGGAAAATCACAACAATAATTTTGATGGATTACATTAAGTCATTTGATATCTACTTTTAGCCAAACTGAATTATTATGGTTATTTCGCCAGATTGTTAAAATTATTAAAAAATGCCAATATGTAACAATAGACAATAATGAATCTAGCTAAAGATTAATTGAAAAAGGTGTACGTCAGGGCTCAATTGTTGGACCTCTTCTTTATCTGATATATGAGCCCTAACACAAAAATATTCGGACATCAATTGATTTTGCGAAAAAGTTTGAAAATTTCCTTAAGGCATTCAATATTATATGTTTTTCATTTATAAGACATAATATGTATTGTTAACATCTTATGAAATTGTTTTCAAATAAACTAATATTGATTAATAAAACTAAACTAATGTTGATAAAAATGCAATATTTGCTGACACATAAATGTTCGGACACGTTAGTAAAACAAATAATAGCAAGCCATGGAAACAAAAAAAGTGTTTCTATTTTGACATTTTAACTTGAGAATTAATTCGATTATCAATTGGCTCCAAAATGTCGCGTGGTAAAGCAACAAATGATGCAATTAGATAATTAATAGTAAAACTGTTTAACCAAGGAAAAACCTTTCGGGATATTGCTAAACAAATAAATGTCGCAAAGTCCACGGTGTCAGATATTGTGAAAAAATATGGAGAAACGGGTTCAACTCAAATTTCAAGACATGGTGCTGGTCGGCCACGCAAAGTCACTTCCCGAATGCAAAGATCTCTTGTTCGGATTTGTAAAACTGATCGCCGAAGAAGTAAGGGAAATAGCAAAATGGAATGAAGAAATAATTGGAAATGTTTCACGAGAAACGTGTCGTCGCTGGATCCATAAGTCTGGTTTACATTTTTATAAGGTACCTAGGTTACGTTTAAGGAAAATCTCATTTATGCAGTGAAATCATTGGTTTAGGTAAAAGAAAAGCCGTTGCTGACGGAAAAACAAAAGAAAAGACGATTAGCGTGGGCAAAGGAACGGGCAATGTGGACTTTTTGAAGACTGGAAAAGAATCATTTTTAGCGATGAATCAAAATTTGATGTTTGCGTGAGTGACCATCGATCACGTGTTATAAGAAACAAAAAAAGAGCCTTTCACAAAGACTGCCTAAAGAGAAAAATAAAATTTCCATCAGGTGTTATGGTATGGGGAAGCATGTCTGGTTTCAGTGTTGGAAAACTGCACTTTATAGACGAAATTGTAAACACAGAAAAATATCAGAACATTCTTGAAACCAATTTGTTAGTGTCAATTCTAATTTTATCACCTGATGGAAACTTTACTTTTCAACAAGATGGCGCCTCCTGCCATACAACCACGATCACAAGAAAGTGGCTGCAGGACAACAATATTTCCGTCCTTGACTGGCCCTCCAGCAGCCCTGATCTAAATATAATCGAAACTGTATGGCACAAGATGAAGCAGCAATTAAGAAATGATCCACAGCGCAACATTTCTGATTTGCGGGTAAAATTGCAAAATATATGGGATTCTTTTACCGCGGAAGATTACGAAAAGCTTGTTAAAACTATGCCTGATAGAATAAAAGCTGTTATTAAGGCAAAGGGAGATGCAACCAGCTATTGATGTGATTTGTCTGAACATTTGTGTCAATAAATATGCATTATTATCAACATTAGCTTAGTTTTATTGATCAATATCAGTTTATTTGAAAACAATATCATAAATATGATGTAAAATAATACATATTGTGATGTTTGTTTACTTTAAAACAACAGCTTATTTATCAATAATTTATTTAAACATTTATTTTATAACACAACTATTCTAATTTATATATACTTCGAATGTCTTTAAACTGTTCACTCTATTTATCTTCACTGTCCATATAATAACTAACTACCTGTGTTCCTCCACCAGCATGGTTATACAAGTTTAAATTATGGGCGGGGGCTCCAGAACGTTCTCGCCAAAAATTAGAAACACTATCACGTAATATTTAGAATAGACTAGAAATAGTATCCCGTCGACTCAGGAATGTTCGCGAAAGTACCTCCGCCATAGTCGTCACATAGGTTTGGTCTTAAGGGGTTTAATTATGTATAATAATCGGACAAGTTGAGCCTCAAAGGCCAAATAAGACAGAGAGGGACTTGTAGGGTTAGAGCATGACTGAATAATGAAATGGCTCACATAACAATATTATGTCTTATAAATGAAAAACATGATATTGAATCCCTTAAGGAAATTTTCAAAGTTTTACGAAAAATCAGTTGATGTCCGAACATTTTTGTGTTAGAGCTCGTATACAATTGATCAAAATAATAATTCTGTAAACTGTACAATAGATCATTGCTGATGATAGTCAAATTTATAGAAGCTTCTTAGTTAATGAAATGGGTAATGCTAGTTTAGAGATAAATCAAACATGTCTAACATATTCTAGTATTTAGTAAAACATGGGCTAAAACTCAAGCAATATGTTTTGGTAATGTTACAACAGACGTCATAAAAGATAATTATAATATTGAAATTGATAATGTGGTAGTGAAGCCATGTAACTTGGAAAAAAGTTTGGGAATTTATATTGACCGTAAATTGAGATTTAAAGAACAAGTTAGATCCACTGTTCAAAAGTGTTATTACTCTTTAAAATTAAGACATTTATTATTATTATTATTATTAACTTTTGACATGGGAAATGGCCCGTGAGAGTCTAGAAATATAATTTTGTCTGTAATTAATGAATAATTTTATAATTTTTCAGCATAAATAGACTTACTTATCAAAAGAAGATATTTTTTAAATATATCAAATATTTTCCTAAAAATTCGACTTATGACCTTTTAAGCGCCGATAACAAAATTATTAAAATATTTGCAACTCTATCTGTTCCGCAATTGTAAATAAAAGTAATAATAATGTTTTTTTTCTTACAGATGATGTATCAGCCAATGTCCACACAGGGCAGTTTTCAGTATTACATATCTGTTCTGTAATCATCTCGCTATTGTTACAATAAGAATCATCTATAGGTGTATTTCTGTCATCGATACATTTCGCTGTTCTTCTCTGTATACCTCCTCCACAAGTTTTGCTGCACTGTAAAAAAAATAATTTTAATGAGAATATAGAGGGAACGACGCCACATAATTTAAAAGCGTTCAAATAATAATTATTATATTATTTTTGATCAATGTTTCAAAATTACATCTTTCATCGTATATGAGGATTAAATTAAATAAGCAATTGTCATTGTTTTACCAAGAAAAAAGACAGATTGCATAAAGACTTTAGCCTTAAATGAATAAAGGTGCAATAACTTCAAAATCTATTGCATTCAAAAAAAAGTATTAATGAAGTATTTGATTCCAATATGCCAGAACTTTTTACATAAAAAAATATGTATTATAATGTGATTGATGTAGACCTAATTTCTAAGTTGACTTAGTTAATTTTTTTTGTTATAATAGAAAATAATAAAATCATTTGATCACAAAATAACCATAACGTTATTTGCAGATGAAACAGCTACTATACTATCATGTTTTATCATTTACTTTTGAAATAAAAGTGGTTTTAAAATAAAACTTGAATACAATGAAAAAGTACTCTATCCACAGGCTGTAACAAAAAGGTAAATGATACCAGTTATTCTGGAATCAAAACTAGGACAGTTAGATCCATTCCCTATGTGCATACAAAAAATAGCCTTTTGAAAAGTTACAAATTAAAAATAGATTTGTTCCAATGACTCGGAAACTCTTAAATATTTTTTCATAAAAATAGACATAGACTTAAAGTAAGGACAACTTTTCAAGAAAAAATTACGAAAACACCGCACCCCACCCCCATAAAATTTTTATGTGAGTTTTGATTCCCTAGTTCCCAAACTTTTAAATATCACAAAAATAGGTTATTCTTGTGCTACCGTTAGTTTAATGCATCCATTTTGAAACTTTTTTTAGCCCTAAGTACTTTTTCGAAAAATCAATGTGTTTCGAGTTACAACTCTTACAAAAAATTGGCGCCTACATAAATATTTTTATAGTTTGTAATTTTAATAATTAAATTTGTGGATAAGTTTGATCTAAACGACCTTTTTGTTACATCCTGTTTATTGTACTATTTAAAAACGAGGCGTTCAATGTTCCCAAATTTTGACTTCCTGAAAATCTGAGCCACAAGGAAATACATATAATTTCTTCAAATTAATGTGGTTTTAAAAACAAAACAAAAAATCACTCTAGTATAATTCTTCCTAAGATTAAGATTTATGATTAGTGATCGGTAAGATTTAAGAAATTTTAAAACAAATCTTGAGAACACCAATTTTTTGAATTTAGAAGTTTATTAAGAGATTCATCTTAAACTGACCAATACTATTTTTCCTATAGAGAAAAATGTAAACACTTGAACTCTAATTCTACAAATTTAATTTATATCATAAAATGACGTTTTTGATAAATTCGCCCAAAAGTATTTTTCATAAAGCTAACTGCAACATCGAAGTATTTTAAAATAATTCGCTCAAATAATTTTAAAATTATAGGTTACAAAAAATGATAATAGGATCTATATGCGACCAAGACAAAATCCATTTTTATTGTGTAGATCATTCAATTTGGGCAAATTTTCCAAAAATCTGTATATCTACTAACTAGTAAGGGTACAAGTTACAGACTGATATTAAAACAAAACACCAATATGTCTATTTAATGCTAATACTAATTGTCAAAATGTTGTAATTGATAGAGCAAAATGTTTATGTCGAAACGATTTAAAGTATATATTGATGTCAAACAAAATGGTGATTTTATTTCATTTATCCCTCCCTATACAAAACGAAAAATAATATTGTTATTGAACACTTTTCTATGGCTACCAATTTTTAATGCTTTTATAATTTTTTTCCTTATTTGATTATTCTAATAACACAAAGTATTCATTTCTGTATATCCTTATCTGATAACACATTCCCTAATTATTGTAATAAAATCACGTGTTCCATGAAATGTTAAACAGTAAAAAATTATCTAGAAAACGTGATTTTAGTTAAATAATTAGGGAACAGTGGCGTAGCCACGGGGGAGGGTTCGGGTTTCGTACCCCCCCCCCCCCCCCATAGAGGGCCTTCTCACCGTTTTTGCTATTTTATTGGCGCTGTTCGCATTAACTGTTTGTTAACCCCCTCCCTTATAGTTCTCATGAAAAATTTCTACCTGCGCCACTGGGAATGACTATTTTGTGCTATCAGATAAGGATCTGATACAAAAATGATTACTTTGTGTTATCAGAAATATCAAATAAGGAAATATTGATTTCTTAATCAACAATAGTCGCGAAAGTGTAATTTTGTATTATAGCCGTAGAAAAATAGTATTTTATTACCTCTGACCACTGTGAATAGTTCCATCTTGTAGAATTGCATATGGTATTGCAACTTTCTCTAGCTGGTGGTGTTGTTAGAATTGTACAATGCTTATCATTAACAAATTCATTATAATTTGCCTTTGTTTTATACACTTTCATACAGTTGTAGTAGACATTTCGAATTCTGAAAGAAACAAAAAAATTATTTCAAATGATAATTGATAAAATATTTCAGTTTGAACATAAAGATTGTTTTCCATACAGTGTTGTTATATTATATCGAACAGTGCTGCGTTGTTTCAACTGTCAATCATAAAAATCTAATTCGGAAATAATGGCTCTATAAGTTTTTATTAACAGCTGTTACATAAATTTTGAAACTCCATATGAAATCCTACTAAACCTACAGTCCATAGTGCTGGCAAGATTGGTCCTGCTGTACTTGTGGTGTATTAAACGTCCTTATAGAAAACATAATATGTAGTAACACCTCTGGTGTTACACACGCTTCACTCCAACACTCGTAAAGGGGTAATGTACAAATTAGATTCAAAATACTGTCTATACAAGCTTGTTGAGTGGTTGCCAAAACGAGAAATTGTTTGCCAGGAGAAAATAGAGCAAATATATGTTAAGTGGCCATTGACCATTGGGCATTCCACTAATTAATTGTCCTGCCTTTTACATCTATCCAACAGTACTGTTTCAGGATATATCGCAAACAAAGGACTACAATACAAGATAACGGAAAATGTCTCAAAAGTTTTGAGATTTCGATAAATGACCATTGTTGAGCTTCAATTAAACACTTTTCCAAGTTGCATTTATTTAAGGCATCATCAGTATCAAATCGTCAGTTAACAGTTAACAAACCATCAATGGCCCATCGAAAAATTAAAGTTAACGGGCAATTAATTACAAATTTCAAAAGGGCCCTAACAAGTTTACCGTTACAAGTTACTTTGCCATCACATTTGCTAAAGGGCCATCGACGAAGAAGCCTGTGTAGAAAATGCTCTCATAGCCAATCCAACAGTTGTAAGGCGATGACAACAGAGATATAGCAAAAAGTGTTTGAAAATTTACTAGATTCAACAATCCCGCGCTTTTTTTACGCATAATTAATGCGAAATTGTCGAATAATGGGAAATGTGGATCGATAAAATTCAGTAATTTTGGTAAAAAATATATATAGTATAGACCTCAGAATCAACTTTATGTACTCTTTCTTAACATAGCACGCATATTTTATAGAAATGGCACCCATACCAAACGCTTGTAACAAATTTTCGTTTAGATAAATAGATTAATAAAGATGTAAAAAAAATGTTAATCAACTGAGCGTACGTAAATACCTAAAAAAGTTTCGAGGTTTGGAATTTACAAAAACGCTATTTATGATGATTTTCTGTTGGCACAAAAAAACCTGTGGGGAACTTCGGCGACTTCGCCTTTATGAATGTGTGGGTCCTAGGAATGTGTACATTTAATCACAGAAGATGCAACGATGATGTATATATTAAATTATTCAGGCATAAAAAGTTTATAAGTTAACACGACCGTTTCCAGTAAACAGACTCGAGTTTCGAAACATATCAAAACCTTTTGATGTTACCGCATCCGAGTGGGACTCAAGAAAGAAAACTCTATCTGTCGCAAAACACGCTAGTCCAAAAAGTTTACGAATAGTTGAAATTTTGTTTTTCTCGACACGAATTTGTGTTTTGTTTTGTCCGTTTAGTGGAAATCCGCTTGATGGAAACAAGAATTTTGGGTTTGTCTCAGTTTTGTTTTTCAAGTTCCAGAAAACACAAACAAAACAAACTCAACTGTCCGTTTAGTGGAAAACCGTCTTTAGATTTTTACTTTGTCCTAAAATTTTGACTTTGATGTGTCTTATTATTAACACCAAATTTGCCATACTTGGTTTGCGACTTGCCAAGTGTTCCGTGATCTTTTGGCGAAATTATGTAACTAGGGAGTTAAATCTGTTTTCCACTAGATAGAATTTGGTATGGTAAATCCACAAGTGGGGAAAACTCATTTTTCTGAAAAATGTAACTTAACACACCTTACCTCTAAAGTGCTGATATTAAAACAGTGGGATAAATATTTTTTCGAACAATGAAAAGTTTTTGCAAAATATTAATTGAAATTGGTACCTATGTTAATTGACTTACCCTTTTCCACATTGAGGCGAGCAAGCACTCTTTGAAGCAATGTTCCAAGTCAGTTGACAGTGCGTATTACAATCTCTTTGTTGAATCGCCTTGTCTTCCACATTGTCACATAAGTTAGGTTTGACTTCAATTTGAGTGAGCAAATCCATACAGGCAGGCTTCCTGTATTGTTTTCCCTCACAAATTGAATTGCACTTAGTCCAACGTTGGTTTGGATTAAGTTGCCAACCATAACTGTAAGTAAATTTACGTTTGTTTCTGTTGAAGAGGATATGTGAGTGATGTAGATGAAGTTTTATGTTGGATTTGAGAACAATTAGTTTTTTTATAGTATTTTTGGATCATATTTATATGCATAAATGTTTCAACAAAATGATATTTTTATATTGTATACATATATTTTTTGTACAGATTGACTTTCACATCATAATAAAAACTTATGTTGGTACTAGGTAGACTCACCAAACTTGTAGTTCTACATTATTCGTGAGAGCGCAACTTTTTCAAAAAAAGATTTGACATTTTCTAGTGTGGACGTAAAATTGTAGATAAGATTATTAAAAATAGTCTAGGGCATTGTAGAAATGGAGAAAGGCTGATAGAAACAAATTTCAACATTACTTCAACACGAAAAAAATATAGTATTTATAGTCAGCGCAGTTAATTTTAAGTAGAAAATAGTTAAAACTGATGTATGTAATGCGTAAAATATTTCAGAAATGTTTTGAGAATGTAAAAGCATATATATCTTTATAGGAGGCAGACATTTTTATCATTAAATAGATACTTTAAGGCCTAAGTTACGAGACGTTTAAGAGAGAGGGAAAGAATGGTGTAAAATTAAAAAAAAATAAACAATGAAATTATTGAATTAATTTTATGAAGTTCTTCAAAAACGTGGGTTCTTTCTGAGAAAATTAGAGACTAAGTAAATGTTTTTATTTCGGCACAAGGATTGCAAGTATTTATTTTTGTGCATATTCAAAAAAAAAATAACATAAAAATTCATCTATTACCCATATTTAATGTGATATACCTACATAATGTTTTAATTTAACGTGTTTTATTGAAAAGTTGTTTTAGTTATTCCAATTTTTATAACCAATTTCAAAATAAAAGAACTCAAGAAATATCTAAATTATCTAACCCTAGCGGTTTTGCTATTGACTCCGCACTTTAGTATTAAAAAAAAATAATAAAACAAAAGGCTAGAACTACAGTAGGTTTATGACAAATTTGAAATATAAGGGAGTATTATTAATTCAAATTCCTATTTGTTTTATAGTGGGGACTAAATATTTAAGAGCCTAAGCATTATTATTTTTCCTAGAATAGTATCCCAAATAGTACACTGACGTCACTGTGACGTCATTTTTTTTGCGTTAATGAGCGCCGGACGTCACCTAAAAATGACTTCTCTGGGACGTCATATATGTGACGCCAATACCACGTAATATTTTTACGTCATAATTTGGTCATACATTTTTAAATTTAATTAAAGTGCCAGCAAAGTTGGTTAATTTATTTTTCCAGAATGACAAAAACAATTTTTTGCGACCAAATAACAGAAAACAAGGAAGAGATAAGAAAAAAAGTTGGGTTATGTTAACAAGAACATGACGTGATCGGTGTGTTGCAAAAAAGTGGCACCTAATGGCCTTAGTTTTGTTGGTATTAGATAAGATATTCCTTATGTTATGTATTTTAGAGCATACAAATTGTTATATTTTAGTTATTGCATACTTCATGTTAGTAGTAATACAATCTTCGGTACACCGTAAATGAAGAGAAGTTTATTGGATACCCTCTAACAATGGATGTGAAAAACATAAGTAAGTAAAGAACTTCCTTTTATTGTAGTAATTGTTTTCTTCTGTAATTTTATTTTCAATATTTATGGTGTTTAATAATTTTTTATATGTACCCAGTAGAGGTGGGAAGTTCGAATCTTTTTACTGAATTAATTCATTTGATTCATTCACCTAAAAAGATTCGTTCTTAAAGATTCGTTCTCAAGTGATTCACTTTAGCGAACCACGAACGATGTTATTCCGCCGATCCGTCGAAGGAAATCAAACCGAACGTTTACGAATTTGAGAGCTACCTATTTACTAGGTCGCCGAGTGGCGTTCAGTCTGTAATGCGTAAGAAAGAATGTAATGATTTGAGTGGTAAGATGCTTAAGTAAAATAATTAATACAGGTTTTATTTTAATTTGATATTTTAAAGTATAGCGAATTAATATTTCATAAAACGAAGACAGATGGAAATTTAAATACTATAATAGTAGGTTCATCCTTGTCCGTTAAGATAAACAACAGTAACACAATTTTTTTTAATGCTAAATATAGCCAAAACTAACGAAAAATTATAGATATATGATTCGTCATTTATTGCTTTACTTATTTACTTTGATTTAAATTTATTTATCAGACAACGCGCATAAATTGTTTACCTAAGTTTAATACACCTCTGGTAAAGTGAGAAAAACATTACAGACACATACCGCCACCGCCTGTAAGTTCGAGTTCTTGTATTATGCTGTAGAACGTAGAACAGAAGCGACCGATTTGCCGATGCTGATTTAAAATACCGAATCTTCGAATCAGATCCGAATGAACGAAACAACCAAACTCGGAATTGGGCGTTCTTGATCGATCACAGAGCCGTCGAACAATTGACTCAAAAAAGATTCGAATCTTTTAAAAACAGGGAATTAATTCATTCGAGTCAGTGCACCGATTCGTTCTTTTTGAACGAATCGTTCGCGAACGACACACCTCTAGTACCCAGTAAACCACAAATAGTCGGCATTCGCTCGGCTTGACACCGGCATGTACGGGAAGCCGAGTACTCGGATTGTCGTTGTCGGGGGTTCTTCTGAGCCAGGAAGACCGTACCATTTGACGTAATTTAGAAGCAGAAACCGCATATGGTCCATATTTGGCTTTCCAGACATGGGAGGCATCCTTACGGGCAGAACGCGGTGAATATTTGGCTAGCCGGGCATGGGAGGCATCCTTATATATTGATATGTGAACGCGGAATAGAATTTAGTGGACTGCCGACATTCGACTGCGCCGAAGCTCCAACCGTATATCGGGCCGAGTCCGGTATCCAGCAAGCCTTCTTCGGCCCAGTTACGGTGCCGATTAACTGTGTTTATTGGGTAATTATTTTATTTTAAAGAGTTTATTATCTATGTAATATTATGTCCTATAAGTCCCGAATATTGCCTTCTTTTAGGTATAGGCATGACTAACGTCATAATAACGTCACTGCCGTGAACTAATGAATTGAGCTGTGCATCATTTTGACGTCACATCGTTATAACGGATGACAAATAAATGTCGTCGATGTAACGTCAGTGTGCTACCTGGGATTTTGTGGAACAAGAAAGAAGATATGAACTTAAAATCGTTTAATTTACTGTAATTGCTTACTTATCAATTCTGTGATTAGAGGAAACAAAATCTAATCGTTTTCGAGCTCGTCCTACTGTAGTATAAAATGTACTATTAATAAAAATTCAAGTGACAGTTGACTGTCTACTATCATAGATTTAAAAAATATATATAATTACGCTTAGATTTAACAAAATAACTTTTCGTATTATTTTTAAAACGTTTTAAAAATTTTAAATGAACTTAAAAAGCTAAATACCTTGTTGTGAGATGAGAATAATATGTATGAATATAAATAAATGATTTACCAGTTTTCGCCATGATCCCAATAACCTATTTGTACTATCTAGCTTTTTAGGACTCATTGTTTAAAAATGTGTTGTATCATGTTGCTTTTTAGTTTTAGTTATTATTGTTAGATTTTGCAAACATTTTCAGAGCAGGTATATGAAAAACATGTAACTATAAATAACTACTTTATACTCAATATCATAGAAAAGTTAAACTGAAAAACGACGAACCAATAATGGCTTGCTTGACACGAACTTTGTAAATAGATTAGCATCATCAGAGCTAAAGGCTTGCTCAAAATAGTATCCAACAAAATCTAAGAGCAACTTAGAAAGGACGCGTTGAAGGTTCAGCCAAGCAAGAACCATCCACGTGATAAAACCCACGAAGGGAAAATAAGTAAGCTAAACATTGTTACATTTAATAAAATTCTATAAATTTGTTTAAAATTGAGTAGAGGGTAAATGGGAGGACAAAATGTGTAGGTCAATGACCGATCCAAAGTCATCAGTACTAACTTTTTTATCTACTTGCTAATCAATTAAAGTACTCAATATCAATTTTTAATAAGATACTTGGGTTAGGTAGAATATGAGTTATGCAGGACACATAAAAAATGTTAAAAAAGTATCATTTTTTAGAATAAATTATAAAATACGATAGCCAGTTGCCATTTAGTTATTATTAGCAAATACTTTTATGTGAAATTTATTTTGTGTATGATTGTCTTGCTACTTAATATTAATGTTAAATATGTCACAAACCATATGTTTTTAATATACCATACTTTTATTGTACTATTTTTGTACAATGTTTGGTTAAAAATTAATAAATATTTTTATGTTTTAAAAGTAAATTCGCATAAGCAAAAAATTAATATTTTTAAACAAGAGCTATGGAGTTTTCACTAAGAATACAAAGCATGTGATTAGAAAATACGTTTTGCAACTACACTAATACACTAAATCCATCACATTCTTTTATATTATTACTGAATTCAAATATCAAATAAAAAAATACTACAAATTACCATAGACGTAGACCATACACCAGAAAAATATATAATTAATACATTTAAAGCTTAGAACAATTAAAAAATACCTTCTCGAAAATCCCCTGTAGCTACTGTAATATCTCGGATACCTGATAACGAAACATCAAAAAACATTGTTAATAAATAAATTTTGCCACAAACTGCTAGTAGAATTTTGAAAAAATTTGGATTGAAAAAATTTTCTCATTCTGGTGTGGTTAACAGAGATTATTTTTAATCTCACATTTTTTGTGAGTTAAATAAAACCCCATAAAATCTCTGTCGCAAGGGAACATATATTCATGTATTATAATAATAATAATAATAATAATAATAAAGAACAATGCCTCTGAATACATTCCTGTAAATTAATTACCCACCTTGGTGCTTCCTTGACGTCGATGATATATCTATAGTGAATATTAGGGACAGACGAATCATACGACAGTACTTTGATCACCAAATCTTTCGGCAATTTTTTATTTTTTTCACTAATGATCCATTCTGTTGCAGTATTGGCACCGCTGTATTTTAACTTGATGTTACCAAACGGTATTTCACGCGCATCCATGTTGATTAAGAGATCGCCATTTAGAAGGAAATCTTCTGTTTCACCATCAGCTAATACTACAAAAAAAGACAACAGAACTGTTAGTTGGAGTCGAATGGGGTAGATATATTGATCGATTTGTTTAAAAATTACATTACTAACAAAAATATCAATTGGGGAGTCAAGCTAAGCGATACGCCATTTATATAATTTTTTGAAAATATGTTGTGAGTAGGATGTACTCTGACGAGGTCACCAGATTTCTTTCGTTTAATTCAAGTCGATTTTGGCATGTTAGCGTTCGCAAGAAGCTTCGCAAAAATTCCAGTAAAAATTCCCGTGTTTAAACACTTGCGAGGACTCGTAGTTCAAAATATACCTTTCTGTACCGAAATTCGAATCAAACTTTAAAATGCTCAAATTCACGTAAATTATCTTTTTTTGTTCTCTAAACAAGTAATCATTAGCTACCTCTACTACAAACCATTCGTTACCCGAACCAGAGAACGTTTTCTATTTTGGTACGTTGTCGAGTTTTGAGCAAAAGCAGTTACCGTTACTTCCTTTTACTTCACCGTTCGAGACCAACTGTGGAAAATCCAAGGTGGGAATCTTCATTTTCTATTAAAAGTATATTTTATTGTTCTCCTGGTCGACGCTGTCGTGTCGAATATTAGTAAATAAATAGCTTTATAGTTCGAGAAAATAATTTTTTCCTATTTTTGTACTGTGTACAGTTTTGGGATTTCTAAAGTTTTTTTAAGAGAAACAAGGCCAGTGATGTCACAGTACTATATCGACGACTAAGTTTATCAACATCCGAAGTAATATAGAGTCAATAGAGCTTTCGTTACCCCGATAATCGTTGATTCTTTAATTCACGTCAGACCGTCGACCATGAAGCAACATCTTCGTACAAACCGTATTAAAAATAATTAAAACGGAAACCGATCAATAAAGTACACGATACTTCGTTACATTTAATTTTTCCGAAATTCTGACTATAATCCCTAGGCCAGGCCTACACAGCTCTGATTTTCAAAGGCCAGTTTGAGAAACCGTAAGTGTACGAGGGCCAAGAGAGACCTGAGCCTATAGTGGTCTGTTCAGATTCTAAAAAACAAAAAGGTCCTCACGTTATAATTCTGCCGAGCTTTTCTAAAAAAAACGTCGTCAGCTTATAACTTATAAATGAATTCCTGCTGATCGAGCTTCTAAAAAAAAGGTCGTCAGCCTGAATGCAAGTTTCTTATTGACAAATGTATAGTTTGACGTAGTAGGCGGGACAAACTGGTCAACGAGCTACCAAAACGACAATGGCGGGTCGTATGTTGTGCAGGCCTGCCCTAAGCTAACACTGCTCGGACAGAACGCCATCGCAAATCTCAACTCCGAATTTTATCGCGATGAAACATTGTTTTTAATGGTAAATGCTCGTTAAAAGTGAGAAATCGTGATTGCCGATCGTTTCGCGGCTTCATAGGTTATTTTAGAATGACAATAATTGGATTCAAACTGTAATTTTGTAAATATTTCCGATGTGCTAGTTATACTGCTAACTAATTTTGAGGTTTTCACCGTTTATTTGGAATACCGGGGGTATATCCGTATTTATTGTTTTTTTTTTAATTTAGTTCCACTGATTGTAATTTTGAAAACATTTTTATTGTGTTAGTTATACTGCAATATAAGAAAAACATTAACTCTTACCAAGGTAGGAGCTGTCTCTCGTTAAGTACGGATAAGAATATTGTGTTATATTGATGTTCGAACTGCCTTTTGGAATTCTGTCTACTCTGTTGTAACTAGGGATTGCATCGGCTGACTTATTATAAGTTTTGGTAATTTCTTGACAACGACTGTTATCTCCTCCACAAATACCACATTCATCTGTAACAAAATTGTGTAATTATGTGTATTTTCCTACAAACAGTACTGCTATGGCTATCCAGAACATAGAACAATCAAATAAACAGCTCGAAAATATTCTGTTTAATATTTTGTTACCTAAAACCATGGAAGAATGTAGAATGTTGTCACAACCACCCTCCACGCAGATACCATTAACGCAAATACCGAATCCAGATGGACCGCATTTTGTACCATCTATTACCTTGTCCATTAATCTGTAGCTGGGTTTTAGTTTGTTTGGAATGCAAAATAACTTACAGTAATCTTCTGGATTTTCTATAAAAAAACAAGTATATATCAACTCAAAGATATTATTCCTATTGTCAAAATAAGATTTCAATATAGGTGTTACCACTTGTAAGAGATATTGGTTACCACTTGCAAAGGAGAGATAGGCGATCTCCTTAAATTATGAAACTCAGAAAAGCACAAAAGTAGCACACTACATTTTTTCAATGAGCACACTTTTTAGAGCTTACAAAATGTAGATATGTATATTTTATTTATTTGAACAGTGTGAAATATTTGTTGGCAATTTATATCTTGGTAGTGTTTATAAAAAATGCACTTAATATACCCAAACGCACGCAAACATGTCACTTCTGTTATTTTTTCGTTATGATCCGTTTTGCGAATGGTAATTATTTAAACGTTTTAAAAAATGATCGTATAAAAAATATATTATAGATTTTAAGAGAGGTCAAAGTCTATTGAAATATACTAACCTATATCATAGTCAGGTTCCCATTTAATTAAGGTTGAAGAATTTAGAATTTCTTCAGTTCGTCCATTGAAATCTACACACTGCTTTGTTCTAAAATTAATAAAATTTTACTATTAAAATTCAAGTAAACTTTTTCTACAATATTAAGATTTTTACTAATCAGGGTCGTCTTAAGTTATATTATTCTGGCTCATACACTTTTAATTTTCTTAACTCATTCAGTACTTCATTCAAAATGTATTTAGTATTTATGTCATTTGTATGTTCAAATATATATGGTATAAATATAAATTTATAATTAATATACAAAAATGGGAAACTTATAGACAAATATAATAGGATGTCTAAAAGAAAATTTACAACAATTAAATAACTAAAAATAATAAATTCTGCAAGTGTTTTTCTTGATTTTTGAATTGAAAAATCTTCAATTACCTCCTCAACGTCAATTTCTTTGAGAATACGTCTTTCGAAACTCAATGACAAATGATTTATTATTACTTGAAGTTTTATATTTTATTTATGATGTGCTAAAATTGAATTTTCAATCATTTATATAGGTACCTTAAAAAACTGTTAGTTGTAGCTATTAAAAAACATATATTTTCAAATTTTCCAAAGATATAAGAGGATAATTGCGGAAACACTGCGTTGAGTAGCAATGGAGCAGTGGACCTTTCTACATCGCGAACAACCTATCAAAGTATTTTATCAAAATGGCAATTCTTACGAGCAGGTGAGTCGTGCTTTAGGCAACTATTTTACCAATACCGTTTTTGGACATCTGTTTTTGGTCTACCAGGCTTTCTTATCGTTGACGAAGTCTCCTCAATGTTCTGAACCCACTTCATCCTCGCTCCATTGCTATTAAATGCTAATGTCCGTGCAACGTGTATAACAGCATACCCGTCACCTCTTAAAGACAAGCTCGATTCCCTATTTTTTTAAATCGCTCTTTATTCTGCCTCATCCTGTATTAAAATTATTAAAATAAATTGAAAAACTTAAAACTATAAACTAATTTCGAGAACATTTCATTTAATCAGTCAACACAATATTTGAATGTCTAAAAGAAAATAGTGAATAATTGTACTTTTAACTCACCTAAATGGTATAGCTCCAAATTCACACTCAGATGTGTTACACGATCGGTACCTTACATTTTCACCAATGCAATATGAACCACCGTTGACTGGTTTCGGTGAGTTACAAAATCTTTTAGATGCTGCCACACCTCCTCCACAAGTCCTACTGCATGGTCCGAATCTAAAATATATCTCACACTTATAACCATTTTACAATGTCCTCTTGTACAAGGTGAAAACACGAAGAATAACAATCGAGTAAAAAATGTCCTCAAAGCTTCGGCAGACTTTGGGGAAACACATCAGAGAGATAATTCAACTAGACTCAATGTTCCAGCAACCAGGTCGAATAAAAAAAGGTAGATAAGAAAACACAAGAAAGTAAACCATGTTCAAAAATTACAGGAAAACTTAAATGGAATGTACTAAAGGTACATCAGAAAAATAAGGATGAAAGTTCCCATTCTTTAAAAGGGGGGGGGGGGTCAGGAAACGTTGGGGAAAAGAAACTCTGAAGGCTTAATAAAATTATCGCCAATGCATGGGCATCTAGAAACGAGAGAGAGGAATAACTCGAAGGATCGAATGAGTTATTACACGTCAAAGTAGTTACGTCGAAAGGTGTTATGTCAAAAGGTGTTATGTTGAAAGGTGTTACGTCCAAAGATATTAAGTTGATAGGTGTTACGTCAAAAGTAGAAACATGAACAGCATTGAAAATAAATGTTTTATGTTAAAATTTTAGACGAAGCACGTAAAAGTACTGACAATGTAGTAATTATGATAAAAATTATGAAGTGTAAGTTTCAACTGTATCAAAACAATAATGCAACAAGGGTTTTTTTTCCGTTATTTTAGTATTGCATTTGTTAAAAATAAATAATAAATTTAAAACTTACGGTTGCCATGGTCCCCATCCTCCATCTCGTGGAACCAGTTCATGTTCATATCTGCATTGTCCATTAAAACAGACCCTGGGCGAAAAAAAAAACAAATAAATAGGCATGTTTTATTTTCACTGTTGATTATTGACACTTACTTTCTCTCGCCACATCTAGTTCCATCTGCCCAAGGTACATAAGTTGAAATGCATTGGCTTGTATTCGCATTAAAGCAGTATAAATATTGACATGGTGCAGATACCTAAAAATAAATAAAAAATCGAATTCAGCCTAATTTATAAAAAAAATTTAACCCCATATGAAGAAACACATATTCAGATATGAAGATAATTAAGATATGAGTACCACAAGGGTCGGTAATATACAAGATATTTACATCATGTCCGATAACCAAGCAACCATCAAAGCGATGAGCTCTTACGTAATCAGCTCAAAAATGGACTGAAGGTGAATAGAAAAATTGAAATGGGTTATTCTCACTTTATCTATAGTCCCGGGATGCAACGGGGTGAAGGATACCGAGATTGCAAATAGCCTCGAACGGGACTGAGCAAGAACAAGTTACATATAGTAATTCGGACAGAATGTGTGTACTACAAAATCTTAAGGGTACTATACTGGAGCATACCATAAAGAAGAGAAAGATCTACTTCCACTGCAAATCCATAGGAAGAGAGGATTGGCAGTGTAATATTGACGTTGAGACTATTTTGCCGCTTTAGTGACACAAGAGGGCAAAATATATCTATTAGGTCGCATAATATAAAATAAGGGCCCATAGTGACTACTGTATACCATATGGATTTTAAATTGAATTCGCAGCTCCGCCTAAAACACTCGCTGGAACCATGTACTCTTCGTTTTCTCTTTTTTCTTTTTTTATAATAATTTCAAAATTTAAGAATATATATTTGTTGGGATCCGTTTTATTCCATGAGTTACTTACTCTATTTTAAGCGAGAAGGAAAGTTTAATTACTTACACTGGGTGATAACCATTCATGAGACTTGTAACCAAGCAAATCAGAAATTTCATTAGATAAGCAGACTCTTGTACCAGGTCCAAATTCCAGTTCGCACTGTATCTCCAAATCAATTTTATCCCCTGGTAATGTTTCCGTGTAGGCATAAGTGGGCAAGTAATCATTTGTTGGTGGTTTATCTAGGCAGCTAGACCTTCCAGAACTAAAAAAAGGAAGATTATATTAATAATGGGGTGACAAAAGTTATTTCAATAATCCTGAAAATGTCATTTTAGATATTTCGAAAACAAGCAGTAGAATTCTATATTGCCCTAATAAGAGTAGGTATTAAAGTTACTCGTTTCTACAGTTTCGGTAAATAGGCAATTCACCGATAGTATAAAGCCACGAGCGGATAAGACAGTAGATATATTGAAGCATTGAATATTTTCCAATGTCGTAATAGTCTAATTACGTAATAAGTGTTGCAAAAAAGCATATTACGCCCGAATGGAAAAGTTACGCACGAAGCAGAGTGCGAAATTGTTTCACAATACGGGTTAGGTACTATATTTTATTTACAACCATATATGCAATGTTATCATTACTAACGTCATTGAAGGTTGGGAAGTGTCACATTACACAACTCTACTTCCCGCCCTCACTTCTCGCCCTCACTTCCCGTCTTCATTTCATCTATTCTAGATGAATATTTTTTATATTTAAAAAAAATAACACATTGTTTTGACAAATTATATAATACCTATTTAATGGCAAACAATAAAAAACAACAATGAACTAAATACAACAAACTACTACTTATTGATATTTATTATTCGCGAATTTAATATCCGGCTTTATCTGACATTTATTTATATTGGTGACAGTTGTTTACTCCGTAATCACAGTAACAATATATTTATTATTATTATTATTATTATTATTATTATTATTATTATTATTATTATTACAAACTAATTAGGGCTGAGGAATGAATCCTATTAAGCCCAAAATTACAAGTTCAATAACAAAGACAATTATTAAATAAGTAATTAGCAAATAACATAATGCAAACAAAGCACTAAAAATAAACTTTTAGTTTTCGTTAAAAAAGTCATCGAGTCGGTTTTTGAATACATTTACTGACTGTGCGCGAATAACACTCGAGGGTAAATTATTCCAAGTATAAAAAACTCTATTACAAAAAAAGTTTTCTCGGGTACGTGTTTGTTAAAATATTCTTTGCTCAACTTGTATTCATGTCCACGGAGGCGCTCATCTGTATTCCGTGGGAGTATACTATAGAGGTTTGATGAAAAAGTACCATGAAGAATTCTGTATGTCACAATTAAATCACCCCTTAATCTTCTGTGGGCAAATGAACACAAATTCGCCATGTTAAGCCGTTCTTCATACGATGGTCTGATTCTACCGAAAGGTATTCGAGTAGCGTAGCGTTGAACATTTTCCAATCTTTTTTGATCAAAAACCAAATCAGGACACCACGCAGGTCCGACATATTCCATCAACGGTCTAACGTAAGTTGTATAAAGTTTAGAAAATGTTTGAAAGTTCACACGCGTAAAGGACTTTTTTAATAGGTAGATCATTGAGTTCGAACGTTTACATACCGCTGATATGTGTTCTGACCACGTTAATGAAGAGTTTACAATGAGTCCCAGGTCGTTATAGGAGTTCACAGTTGCTAACGCACTACCGTTTAAATAATAGTTCACGCACGGGTTATTTTTTCCTATATGCAGGACGACACATTTTTCCGCGTTTAAAGGAAGCAGCCAGGTGTCACACCAGTTTGAAATAGTTTCAAGGTCTTTTTGTAGCTGGGTAGAATCTGTCACAGGATTACAGTATAGCTTAGTGTCATCAGCGTAACACGAAATATTAGAATTTAAGTCTTTGCCTAGATCTGCAGCGTATACCAGGAATAGTAATGGCCCTATGACAGAGCCTTGAGGGACACCACTTAGAACTGGATACTCTGACGAGAACATCTGTCCAACTTTTACCTTGAAGATGCGATTTGACAAAAAATCACTTATCCAGAGAAGTAAAGAGCCGCGAATGCCAGCTTTTTCCAATTTATAGAGCAATCTCTTTTTGGGAACACGATCAAAGGCTTTAGCGAAATCAAGATATACGACATCGACAGGCTCTTTATTGTCCACAGACGTAGTCCAGTCGTTTAAACAGGTCATTAGGTTTGTTAATGTGGATCGGCCTTTAATAAAACCGTGTTGTTCTTTTGGCAAGACGTCATAGCTCTTAAAAAAATCAGACATATTACTTGATTATTCTGAGAAAACCGCGCGCTTGGCAATTTGTCGTTAAATGTAATATTTTAGGTATGTTCAGAACGAAACAGAGATTTATTAACTTTGATCGAAATATGATGGTTGTAAATAAAATAGTATACAAACCTCGGTAGGAAGTTTCATTCCTGTCTCGAGATCATAGCTAACCTCGACGCTTCGCGTCTCGGTGATCTAACTAATCTCACGAGAGGAATTAAACTCTTTCCACCTCGGTGTGTAATATACTATTACCTTAAACCACTTTTTGTTTACTTGAATACCGTGCGTTTTGTTTACCGATCGACTTATTTACTATGAATAGTAAGCTATTTAGTATGCCTGCAGACCGTGCGTTTTTGTCTGCTTGCCATAGTGGTCGTATGTAAAAAAATACGTTGAAATAGTAGTTAATCTCCTAACCTATTTACAGTAAAAATAAATTTTTACCATAATCTCAAATGAAACCGAAAATCAATACCACATATATTTATTGATCTTAAAAATACGTTACGTGCGACTAGTTGCGACTGTATCGAGCCATCTTCAGGTCTATAATACAAGCTTTTTTTTAACAATTAACAAGAATAATAAGGTTAGTAAAATGCTTACAAAAATAAAAGTAGAAAAATAATATTGACACATATGGGGCCATTGTGTGGATGATATTGGATACAACGAATTTGGCATGTCCGTGATATTAAAAAGAAAATGAAATAGGAAGCAGATAAGATTAAAAAAAAATAAATTAAAAAATTATGACAATCTTCTAATGAAAAATAGATTGTGGTAATATAACGAAATGAAATATGCTCCATTGTACTTTACCGAAGGCAAAGGGGCTAAGAAAATTTATTTATATTCAAAAAATCACATAAGACATGACATCCATCACTTAGTGGCGCATCCAGAGTTTAAGTCTGGGGGGTAGTGGTAATATTTAAGACTTTATTTTTGATAATAATACATTGTAATACCTACAAAAAGTTAGGTATAAAAATTATTAGAGAGGTAATAACCCCTCCCGTGTATGCGCCCCTATTCTCACTCCAACGAGTTTAATTTGTTAGAATATTGAAATCAGATACACTCAAATACACTACGAGCATACCTAAAATAACAGATGATCAGTCGAGAAAGCGTGTTAAAATTTAAAACAAACCGCAAAGAAATTTTCTACATTTATCTTTAATTGAATCTTCGAATATACTCCTTGAATCATACATCCAAAGGGTGCGTTGAGAGATCTTTACTTGTTTTTCAAATCCAATATTATTAAAAGATGTAAATCAACAATTCTGTGCAGTTAACCTTTTGATTAAGTGTTATTCGATACTACAATCTCCGTTTCCATTCATTCTACAATATTAAACAGATCAGCATCGTCAGCCAGTTAGCCAAGGTGCATCAAACCTCAAGTAACCATATTTCACTCCAAAAAGGATTGAATGGCATCCACCCTATTTGCCAGATTTGGCCCCTAGCAACTACAGAAGTTCCCGAAGCTGGAAAAGTTTCAGTGTTTTGAAAAGGTTGAAGAAAATGTCTTCCATGATACTCTATAAATGCGACTGCAACGCTGGGACAAATGCATTAGGATCAAGAGTATTAAGGCACTAGAATGGCCACGGCCACGACCACGACCGGTCTCTGACGACCAAATTTAATAAAAACAACAGTATATTAACGCACACTATGGATATGCGGCCAGCTGGTCGAAGCGGCCACGCATATAGGGTTGCTATATACAAAAATACAATTATCTGACATATCCAATGAAAATTCCGGACATATATTTAAAAATCCGGACAAATAATAAAACTCCAACTTATGAAATCATTACTAAATGTTTTATTAAAAAAGTACGTACAGGATGGATATTTATCCAGGACAGGACTTGCATTTGATATTTATCGCACGATTCGGAAGTTTTAACGTCCAAAATACCGTTTGTACAAGATTTTAAGTATTCCTTAATTCGTTTGATGATGTTCTTGAAAATTCTGGACAATTTATAATTCCCGGCGCATTCCAGACAAAACGCCGAATTTCCGGACATGTCCGGACTTTTTCTGACGTCTAGTAACCCTACACACATAGTGCTCGTTAGTACACCAGTCGCGGTCGCTTCAGTGCGTCTTTGCTTTTACGAGGATATATCCCTATGCTCCACCTCTGTCCCCCTTACAGTGGCATTATATTTTTTTTATTTTTCGACATATAGTCTCCCTCTACACTAATGCACTTGGTCCATCGGTGCTCTAACATCTCAACAGCCTCCTGAAAATTTTTTTGTCCCACCTCTGCAAACCACCTCTCTACAACTTGCATCAGTTCATTATTACTGGAAAAAATTTTCCCTCGTAAGTTTTCTTTTAATTTGGGAAACAACCTATAATCACTGAGGGCGAGATCTGGCGAATATGGTGGGTGCTCCACTAATTCAAAGACTGCTTGGTGTACAGCAGCCATGGCAATACAAAATGTATGGCTAAGAGAATTATCCTAATGGAACAGCACACCGTTCCTTAACTTTCCTCGACGTTTCTCTTTAAGAGCGTCTCGCAAATTAGAAATCAATTGTACGTAATAGGCTCCTGTAATGATCTGTCCCTTTTGCAAATAGTCTTTATCGGCGGTGGCGTAAGTGTCTAAGTCGTTCGTTCGCATTCATTTGCGAGCAATTTTGTGGTAAGAGACACACACTAGCTTTGAATCCTACAGAAGACCATGTTAATTGATTTGCATGATTCCCTATAGGATTTGATGGATACCACATTAGCAGAAATTTAATTTCTGTTGATACGACATCTAGATTATAAAAACCGCCATGGGTTACCATTTAGATGATGGTGGGTGGGGTTTTTCAGGTTTTCCTCACCTGTAAGTCAAATGACACCATCAATCATCTTTA